AAAGTTCAAGAAGTTATTTAACATGTTTTGGATTGTTCAAGGACTTATTTGTTCCAAAAATTGTCCAAGGAGTTATTTAACATTTTTTGGAATGTCCAAGGACTTATTTAACATATTTTGGAATGTCCAAGGACTTATTTGTTCCAAAAATTGTCCACTGACTTATTTAACATATTTTGGAATGTCCAATGACTTATTTATTCCAAAAAATTGTCCAAGGACTTATTTAACATGTTTTGGAATGTCCAAGGACTTATTTGTTCCAAAAAAAAGTCCAAGAACTTAATCATTCCAAACAAGAAAGTCCATTGATTTTTATTGTACTTTTCTCATTCTAATCTTAAACATATATTCAAAAACTCTACTCCAAAGCATCAACTGTAACAGTTAAATAAATATCTTATAATTTTGTGTACATATTATAGCTTTGCAAACAAAAAATTATTATTTTAAAAATAAACAGTATTATTTCATACGTCTTGTCGTAATGATCATAATAAAAGAAACATGACAAAGTACGTTCCATTTTTATGTATTTTGTACTGATATAAATATCGGAATTTCTTTAGAGACAAAAACCCTAAAAATATATAAACTTAGTTATACAAATTAATAAGAATTTGTATTTTTACTGAGATCAAAATATTTGTGTTTCAATGATGAGTTTCCTTGGAACAACATTTAATTACGACATTAAGATATCAAAATATTAACTACAAGGGTGATGTCTGATTGGTTTAAACTTGGGCTCGAAAGGTAAAAAGTACATGAAGATCTCAGGTTCAAATCCTAGAAGAAATTAAAATTCATTTGTGGTCATGAAGATTCAAATGCAGTGACTGCAGGTCAACCGCAAAGCGGGTGGTCATTTTCTAGAATTAGTTGGCTTGCTTAGCTGGTTGGGTATTCGGATAAAAAAAGATATCAAAATATTTTCAAATTTATTTATAATTTTGAAATTTATATTAAAAATAAATAACACGTCGACATCGCCGTTGGATATATAAACTTGAACCTGTTATTTTCTCTTGGAAGCAACAAAAATTAAATTGCGAATGAAAATTATATCATTGAAAAATAATTAATATTAAGTATTAACGAAATAAATAGGACTTTAGTTCATTATCTCGTCTAATTAGTCTTCACCTCTGATATATCATGATATACTATAAGGGTATTCGTGTAATACAGCGAGAGATATCCCGTTTTTAATGTTTCATTTTATTTTGTCTCAATCGATGTTATAATACGATTTTATGTGGTACTGAAAAAACGATAATGTTTTTATTTTTTGAATAAAATGTAAATTTGAATGTATCATAAATTTTTGAAAAAAATGTATCGGTTTTAGTATCAAATTAAATATTTAAAAGTTCTTATTTTTTGTGTAAATTTTTAATTATAATTTAATTTAGATTTAATAATAAATTCATTTATTTTTTGTTTAATAATATAATTCTTTTATAAAGATCATATTTAGTATTTGGTTAAACTCAATAATTATCCTAAATATATTTTAGATTTTTTATATTTAAAATGAGATACTTATTCAATATTTGATTATGTTTATCTATAATTAGTTATATGAATTCAAACATGAAGCTTTAATAATTTGTCCATATGGACAATTTACTTGTAATTTTGAATTTTAAATAATATACATCAATAAACAGTACTTAATATATAAAAAATGATTTTTAAGAGTTTTTATTAAATGTTTTATAATATAGTATAGATAGAATTGGGACCCGGTAATTTTTTGAGTGGTAGCATCATTTGACTATAGGGAACGAAGCTATGGATATTTTTCAAAAATCATCGGCCTGTTGGTTAGTTTTTATTTTTCGTATACGAGGTCTTGTGTTCGAGTCTTCCCTCACAATATTTTTTTAGAAAACATAATAAATATGAAATTAACAGTTAAAAACTAAGAAAATGATTGAAACAGGATTCAAACCCACGCCTGGAATGGGAGAAAAGCCGTCCAAACCAACTCTGCCAAAACAAAGTTATGTTATTATTGTAGTTTCAAAATATATATGATAACACCAAATATCATAATACATCGCCATTTTTCACGATTTTAATTTTTTTTACCATATGACGGAGGAACAAACAGTGGCATGTACCACCTTATGTTATACATTAGGATTAAAATAACGTTTAAAGCAAGATACGTAACACGTACAATAACCATCATGAAAAAGAATGAGAAAACCTTGTACTGGTACTAATATATATGGCTTCCCCATTATTTCCTTTTGTCAGCTTCTTGATCTTGTTCACCAAACCAAGCTTTTTCTTGACGTGAACGACCTATAAAAATTCAAGAATACTGTTTATTTTTCCCGAACACGCCTAAATACGTACAAACTAATGAAAATTTCTATGCAAAACGACGAGTTAACATTATTTGTTAACATCTCTATTTTCTAATTGAGTTAGCATGACATTCGCCCAACATATGACTAGGCTTTTATTTGGATCAGAGTCGATTGCGTTTCGAGTCTGTAAACGTATAAATACGACTACTATGAGGAAATGAGGTTACAGCGGCATCAATGTGGTCAACCGGACTTTCACTTTGAGCGGGTGTCACCACGTCTTCGAAAGGGATCCAGTATTCCTCACTTTCCCTCGATGGGTAACGTTGGTCTAAGGCTCCTTGTAATCATTTTCAAGGTGCACCTCTCTCCATGGACCCTCGATGGGTAACGTTGCTCTCTTTCTTTAGCCTACTACACCTTGCAGTACATGTTATAAAAACTGGTAACAACATGAAAAGGATTGCATTTCGATACGACTCCAGACTTGTCTATCCCTCCTTATCATGCATGTAAACATATGATAAAGAGCTTTACTTACTATCCACTTGACATCAACTTCCTTTCAACATTCAATCATCCAACACAGATATAGATTACAAATTGTGAATCAAAAAACCCACTCTAAATACACAACATTTGATTCTTACCGTAATCAGCACGCACTTACCCACAAACGGGTTTTCTCCGTTTTCTTTCCTTCCATTGTTTATGTTTTGCTTGGTTTTATATGATGAATTTTGATCTTTACCCACATACATCATTTCACAAAGATTCCTTTTTTTTTCCTTCTAGTTTCAAGATCATCCACCAAACACATGTCAAAAAGAAAGCTAATATACCCTTTTTGAAATGTCTGTTATATGTCAAAATTAACAAGGATAGGATGCACATATATCCATGGGATGGTACTGGAACTGGAACTCGACTACTCAGACACCTCCTCCCTCACTCTTCAGCATTGATTCCGAAAATCCGGACCTTATGCATGTGTGGGAACTTGGCAATCACCAGCACAAAGACCGCCACTGTGTTCAACAACAGCATCGGGTTCTGATAGTCGGTTGTATGGGATGCTATCAAGTACCTGTATTATGTACAAACATCATCTACATATATAAACAATCAATCACTTCACATCCAATAAAATCATCACATTCAATAAAACAAATGGGAGTTATCATCAGAATCAATCAATCACCATTCCAATTTCTTTTTTTCTTTTTTGTCAAAAGATGTGTCACCAAACGAGTTCAAGTTGTATCAACAGATTTACAACTTTGAATGCAAGAAGCTCCACGACCAATTGGATTAAGCGAGTAGGATAATAGAGGAATCTGTACACTACTGAAACATCAAACACAAATGAGCCTTGCTAAAAGTAAGGTCATATTTAAAATTTAAGCAAACTTTTGGGAGCTCCAAGAAACCAATTCAAATACTTCAAAATGTTTGGGACCCTACAAGGACTAGTACAAAAGCTACCATTTGAAGATGGTTGGTCACGTGTAAAAGGTTTATGAGGGTCAGTTTGGAAAGCAGACATCACTGAACAGGACTGGAGATTGAACAGGTTAGAGTGAGCTAGGTGGGTGAAAGAATTGTGCAAGTAATTATTGTATTAATCTATTGGTAGTTTAGTAACTTACCCATCTTGTCCAATCTCCCTGATTTTTGTTCCACCTATTTTGGTCCCACTCAGTCCTTGACATGAGATATGCATTTTTGTCTAGTTCAGCCCTTGTCCTGTCCCACTCTAATGTTGCATCAAACGTTAGATAACTTTTTGCTCTTTGTCCTGCGTACCAAACACACCTTGAGTGTGTGTATTTCAAAGACAGAGGGTCTACTGGTTCATTGTCAGTGTTCACAAAGCTTCACCTGACAACCCCTTTCTATTACAAATAAAAAGGCATAACTAAGGAAATATTGTGGTGGTGCAGCTGTTTTATGTGTACATATCAATTCAAGATGGCATAGTATATAACCTAAAAATGACCCAAGGAGAAGTGACAGCAGCAAGGAAAATACATAGGGTAAATACGCTGATCTAGCATGGAGATGTTCCTAAAATGTTCCTACAGAGTAGATCATGTATTCTCTTCAATAATGTATTGTAGACTACATCTAGATAGATCATCATAAACAAAATAATCCTTAACAATCAACTTTATTTTTGTCAAGCTTCACAATCAAATGTATCTTTTGTTGGCAATTTTAACAGATAAGCGTATTCAAGAGCAAAACCATGGGAATTACTCAACTTAAATTTGCAACCCAATCCCCCACCTTGCGGGGGTTGATAGAAAAGAAAAACACCAAATTTTATGGATATAAAATGACAGCAGAACATGGTACTTAGAAGCAAGCCACACAAGGTTTCATGCTTCAATACAACTAAGGAAATCATTAGTGGGACGATGGTACTATGTTTAGGTTGGCAGATATGCAAAATCCAATTGGGTTATCAAATTCTTCCCTGAAAAAAAACATGGACGTTATACACATGCAAATTTATCAAAATTCTTATATGACGCAAACAAGAGTTCTCCAACCACATGGACATGTAAAGTAAAAGTCCAAATTGCATATATATGCAGACACAAACTAAACCACGACTTGTACAACAAGAATGGAAAGAGCATAGCACACCTAGAGTGACAGTTGAAGGAGGTCTTAACCACTCAATATACCAAGATAGAAAACAGATAGCCCATCTAATCAACCTCAAACTTCTTTTTCATGGGCTTCTGCTATCGACAAGCAATCCTGTAATGATTAGATGATATTACTATATTCTAAATAAATGCATCATATCAAGTGAGAAAACATTTCTTTTTCATAATCACAAATTTACCAAGGACTTCAGTGATCATATGTTAATCTTCGTATAGCTAACAGCCTAACACTACTATATACTTCTTTCACAACAGATTGATCGAGATGACATGGTTGTGATCGATGGGGAAATGTTTCCATTGGCCACCTTTTTTGTATTCAATGTGGGGTGAGTAACAGTATAAAGGCTTGAAAAGAACATAATTCTCACTCAAAAACAAAAGAGACCCATGCTTTAGAGATTGGTAAAGGTGTCCAATTTGACCACTCAAAGTATATTAACAAGAATTCATGGTAAAAATATCAGTTAAATCTTCAACGTATTGGACAACAATGACAGAAGTTGATAATTGAAAGCATCATTACGCAATAGCACCAAATGACCTCCTAACCTCCATGATCAGAATGCAAGCAAGGGATCAACTCCGATCAAGTAATACGATAGGAAATAAATCAATATTTATTTATTTCCTAATAAGATATATTTCTTATAATTCTATTTTTTTTTCTACAATATGTTCCCTTCACCTTTATTTGTAGTTATTAGTAAGTGACAGTTTTTTAGTTCTACCAGATCTACAGTTTCGTGTTCTTCTCTTAACAATACTGATGTAATCACAGAATACCAAAAGTTATGGTGTGAGCTAGGATCTTATGGCCGTTCTCATGAAAAGATAGCGGTTCCTTCTACACCATTTGTTTCTATTCTCCCACATCAATACCTTTCAACAAACAGTCCTGCATCAACTCCAAAGCAATAAGCATTTGTTGGGCACTTCATTAATTGTCAAAAGCTTGGTCCAGATTCCTTTAAATCATTTCTTTTGCAAGCCAGCCTTACAAGTTACAATTATGCATAGAGCAAAATATTTCATACAAAACTCAATATGAAATTTTCCAAGGGGTTCCATCCCCTTCATCGAAAGAAAAACAAAAACACAAAATTCAATATGCAAAAATACTAAAAAATAACAGTGATGATATGAGCTTTAAGACCCTGCTTATAGGTTTAAGAAACTCAGAGAACTTACAGCACCACAGGTACAACAGTTAGAAACTTCCTGTTGCGAGTGAGCTGTTTGCCACTATCAATTTGCTCCCACCAAGTCAACCTGTTGTAGATTCCCTGGTCATCAGCAAAGGGTGTTCCCTTCTTCCAGTGAAAGAAGTGATATGTAACCTGATGGAAAAGAAAGAATAGCACTTAAGTTTAGCCAAGTGCACACATTTGCAGCCAATCAAGCATGCAAGGAATAGATAATAAATAGAGCATGATGAATTGGTTAAACTTTACGAAGACAGTTTGTGAACCTTATACGAATCAGTCATTTGTTGAGAAAGGTGTTGATGTGTGCGAATATGACATAAATACTCGTCTTTTCAGAGGCTTGGCATATAAAATAACAGCAAGAGGTATCTCCTTAAGCTTGAAGAGTAAACAAGCACATGATCAATGATGAATAAATATTTAAGCATGTTTCATTATTAGCACTCAAATAGGTTGGTTTTAAAAAATTAGCTTCTAGGTGAAAGATACACCTAGCCAAAAAATGGGCTTAATAGCCTATATAGCTTATTTGGTAAGCTATTTAATGATGTTCGGTTATGGCTTGTTCAAAAAAGACTGGGCTTATTCGCACAGCCCATTTACCCCTCTCATTTACACTCAGCCCTTCAAACTTCTACCCCTCCATGAAAGACACCTCCTTCTAAAAAATCAACCACCTCCTACCCCCTGCTCTTGTCTACATTCGCTGCTTCCTCAGCTTTCTCCAGCGGACTGCTGGTCCATCTTCTCTCGTCGATGAAGATGAGCACCCTAGTTTGTTGTGCTCCTGCTATCCCCCCTCTCTTCCTCCATGCCGGTCTATACACATCAGTGGCGTCAACAATCACAAATAAATCAGCTAGGCTTGGCTATTGTGGTCTCTTTGATCTCTTTTCGATTCCCCCTTTCGTCAGCAGAAACAAACACAAAGAAAATCCCTTGTTGGTTATTTTATTTCTTCAATTTATGTTCTTGAATTAGTAATTTCTTTCATTTTCTTTTTCATTCTCTTTTTATTTATGTGGTTTTTGGAACAACCGAATTAGGCTTTAGTAATTTCTTTCTTTAATTCATGCTTTTAACTGGTTGAGATTATCTTCTTAAAGGGAAGTGTTTGGATGTTTGATGTGTTAAAGCTATGGTACAGTGAATAATGCACACAAGATGCTTGATGAAATGAGTGAGAGAAGTAAATTGTATTAGGGCATTTCATGTTTTGTTTGTTTGTCATTAGCCAAGCTTAGGAACAAACAGATTATGCAAGCCAAGCATTCCCAAGTCCCAACTAAACATCAGGCTGGACGAGGGAAGCCCCTTCTCATACAAATGGAATATACTCATTTTGTCGACAATCAATAAGATAAAAAGATTGATATTCAGAAATGAATCAACTTATTATATTGTGGCCTATAGTCGTGACTCGTGCTTGCACTGTCTCATCAAGAGTCAAACACATACTGATAGTTCAACCTCAGGCCATCTTCAAGCGTTAGCTCATGAACAGCTTAGCATAGAGTACAAACCCTCAGTAGAGATCAGAAATCTTTCTAGGCACCAATAACCGATCCAACCAACAAGACTATATAATTGCAACAACTAGAAGCAAACCGACTCTGGTCCGCTACTTCTACCCTCCACTTTTTTGCAATTACCAGTACAGACCTAAGCTCGTCATAGCATCGAGTTCAATTATTAAATATAAACCATCAAAAACACAGATCAAACAAACTATACAAAATGTTGATACTTCAAAACCCTAACACCAGATAACGTAACATCAAAATTCATCAATATGGATAAAAATTAAAAGAAATTGGCATAAACGCGATCACAGCCAAGTGATCGCGCATGTCGACACGTAGAATTAAAATCAAAATTAAAACCCAAAGGAGGTGAAATGGAAAAAAAGAAACATACCAGAGCGTGACCGAGATTGACGGTGGTCCAGGCCATGCCAGGAGAACAACCGGAGACGGATAGAACGACGAGCCAAGCGAAGAATAGGATGAGTATGTAGGTGGTCCAGACACCTGGATACATGAACCACTCGGTATTCCGGTTGAGATCCGTGGGCGGAACCGCTTGGACATACAAGTTAGCCATTATAGTATAAAAGGAGAATCAGAATGGTGTAAGGATGATTTTGAAGCAGGTGGGAAGGTGGTTATAGATGGTGGGTGTGTGGACTTGAAGAGAAGAGAAGAAGAGAAAAGCGATGATTGTTGGTGTTGGTGTTGGTGTTGGTGATGATGATGGCAATTGGTAACGGCGATGGTGGTGGTGGTCATTATTAGCACGCAAATTTAGACATAATTGAAACGCATAACCAACCAAAATTATATTCAATACTTATCGTATACCTTATAAATAAATCACACCTATTTATTTATACTATAATCATTTGATTTGATAAAAAAAAATTTAAAAATTATTTTTTATATATAAATAATTGATTAATATATATTACTTAAAATTTAGAATCACAAATAAATTATATGTAAGTATTATTAAACCTTTATTTTTAAATTCATATAGATAACTGCAAATAAATATAATCATATACAGAATAAACATCATATTTTAAAATATAAAAAAATATAATTAAGATAATCGTTGAATTCTAATAAAATATTTAATTATTATCAAAATCATATAAAACTGTATTATATCAATAGATAAAGAATAAAAATGAAACAATAAAATCGAGATATATCTCTCTGCATTGTGCGAATACTCTTCTAATATCTTCTAATTTAAATGCAATACGGTGTGATATCAAACTTTTTTATAAATCAAGGATGAAGTTTATGTTCATTATAAACTCCAAAATTTGTAATTAAAATACAATTGCATTTAAAAAGAGAGTGGAACCTAATGTTAAATGTTATTTTAAACCTAAAAAAGGAACCCGAAGTTAAATCACAAATTGAAAATAATGTAACAAACATTCCAACTCTTGTGTATTTTTAACTTCATAGGGTACCTTCGAGTTCGATGACGGCAAGGCTTTTTCACCTTCCATTGCAAGAACCTTAATGTAACTATTGATAGAAAATCTGACAAGTTGACACAAGAACCATACTTGGACCTGATAACAGTCTTTGGTTCTTACAAAGAAAAAATCTGAAAGGTAAGATTTAAATCCATCTAAAGTTCTTGCAACCCAATCAAAAAAAGCTGGCTAATATTGAAAATACTTGGTGCTTCCATCTATTTGGCTACAATCCATCTGCTATAAAAGTAAGATTTAAATCCATCTGAAAGAGACAGACTCACAGTGAAGGGTTTCTTGACAAATTGTTTAGTTGCATATTCCCAATCTGCATCATCGAACACAAGGCAGAACTAAATTGAGATCTTGTAGATACATATTGTATGGTCCTAATTGCAGCTCATCGACAAAAAGAATGTATGACCAATCCAATCTAATCTAATTACTACTGAAGTATAAAAAGGAACTTATTTTATGTAATATTCGTATTTTGCATCAGGGTGTACAAATGTGATTAAAATGATTCGATGATTGATCAAAATGTTGAATGAAACCAAACCATTTACTCATTCATTGGTATTAATCGACTTTGAAAATTTAGTTGGATTAGATCAACTCCATCCAAGTCCACTAACATATCAACCTATTACACATTACACTCTTTCATAACCCAATTTGGTATCAACATACACTACTAGGTAGTGATGGCCAAACTAAGGACCGGTTATAGGACCGAAATCTGGGACCGGTTATGAATTTGGGGTGTTTCGCGGGACCGGGACGGTTATGGACTGGCCTAGCCCGATTTTTAAAAAATGTAGCCATTATTTTTCCAAAAAACTAACCCTTTTGTGGCCCATTTTTTTTGTAATTTTTGCTTTCTAAACACTATATATAAGTGTCTTGGTTGAGGGATTTACATACCACGTTCTCGATTCGCAAAAAAACGTTCACAATTATCGGTTCCTCGCTATATTTTGTAAGACAATATAATTTTAATTATAATAAAACGCATTTTAAAGTGTATTTGTGTGACCCAATTACAAATTTTATAATGTATTAAAAATATATATATATCATTAAAAAAATAAAAATTAATTTTTAATGACTGGGACTAGGACCGGCGACCCATAACCGGTTACAATAAAGCTTGACCGGACTCAACTTTTTCGACTGGGACCGGTTATGGCCGGTTATGAGAAATCTTGGGACCGGCCCAGGACCGGTTTTTGGCCATCACTACTACTAGGTAAAAGGTTTCTCATAGTACTTGCACGTATCTTCATTCCACATAAACACTATCATCAGAAAGAAGAAAAATCTTGAAACTGATTTAGGTTTTTCTTCTCATAAACCTATCGTCGTCCTTCTCAAATGAGGTTTCTTCACAGATGTGTTTTTTGAAGTTTATCAGTTAAAATTAAAACCAAAACACCTTAAAATTCAAATACAGATGATTCAACACCAGCAAGAAGCCAACATGTCACCTCTCTCTTTGGCATTTGAAGGAGCTTTATTTGTTAAAACTTGGAATTTAAATCAATATACATGAGATTTAAGTGGGATCTTATCAGTTCTAATAATGTAAAAACATTTTGCAAAACCTGTACATATTTGATAACAGTCTATATTTTTCATGTTCTTGTAATCCAAACTGGAGCAGGATGTAATCAGCTTGACAATATTTCAGTGCCTGAGATACCGCAATGTAGTGAATTCGGCCAAGAACCGGTGGTTTCCATGGCAAGAGCCTTCACAGCTATTTGTTGTGTTTGTCCTTTAGGCTGCATTTGGTATTCTAATTTTATTTTATTCTTAATATTATATCTTGTATTCTAGTTTTTAATTTTGTTTTATTTTTAAGTAAAAATCGTAATGTCGTGAGATGAAAGTCCAAATTCAAGCACCTCCATTACTCTTAATCATCACGAAACCCTGAGAAAACCATTTAGTCCATTATCGCCTCCAAAGTAATACCGAGAGTGAACTTGAGGTTGGTGAAAGTGGAAGTCTAGTTACTTATAATTTAAAATTTTCCAATTTATTTTGAACAATATATTTGTTGTGGTTGTGTTTTATTAAAACTTTGTGCAATTTGTTTGTATTTGTGGTTGTGTTGTGTTTTATTCAAAAAAATTAAATAGTCTAGTCATTTTTTATTTAAAATTTTAAAATTAAATGAGTCAACCCATGTTGAATCTATTTATTTAACAAGTTAGGTTAAGATAATCATAAACAGGTCAACCCACTGTAGGTTGAGTTAGGCTGAAAAATCTCAACCCATTTAATTAGATGAGTTGGGTTGGGTTGAGATTTTCAACATGCTTAATAAATTAGTTGGACCTGAACCCAATCCAACCTGACCCATTGTCATCCCTATCAACCGCCATCACCACCACAATCCACCATCTTCACATCATCTATGACCACCATCGTCCACCAACCACCACTGCATCTACCTCCATAACCACCATCGGCCACCACTCATTACCACTACTACCGTCGGCCACCACCACCTCCACCTCCACCATAACCAAAACCACCTCCACCACCACTAATACTACCATCAATTATACAACTTTTTTCATTCAAATTTGGTATTATTATATATGTATATATTCATTTATATGACAAATGCTAAAAAAAAATTATAAATTAAATTCTTTAATTATTTACTTTGTTTGTGTTAACTATAACCATTATATAATATTTAAAATCATCAAATAACTTTTGGAGGTAATTTGTCTACTTCTGTCCCGTTTAGTTCTAGTCGTACCAAACATCAGACATACACTTGTTCTATCTAGTCCAGTGACCAGTCCCGTCAAGTCCTAATCTTGCCATGTTCAGTCTTTTCCAATCATGTATGCATACCAAACATTACCTCAAGGTTCAAACATTACCTCAAGGTTCAATCGCTTTGTTTTTCTATTTTCAAATAAACGATAAGAAGATCATGGACAGTTATGATAATTCCATGAAGGACCAACATCAAATAGTGATATTTGATCAACTACGTTTTTGTAACGAGGAACTTCAACCAAGAAAACCTAATTGGATGTGAGAGTTTTGGTTTTGTTAACAAAGGGCGTTTGAACCTTGAGGTAATGTTTGGTATGCATACATGATTGGAAAAGACTGAACATGGCAAAATTACGTATCGCAAAAATATATATAATGTGTTTTAAAAACTCTCCAAAATGCAAGTATACCACATGAAACCAAGAATGTAGTTTTACTCGTTTAATAATGTATTTGAAGCTAGGTTTTAAGTTTTTTTAAAGAGAGTGTTTAGGATTGTTTATTTGAAACAACTTATATTTTTTTTTACAAAAACACTTATCAACTTATTATAAGTCAGGAGTGTTTAACTTCTTCAAAAACTTCTTATTGCCAGTTTGGCATTGGTATAAGTTGTTTATCCAAACACTCAAAAGTGTTTATTACCGATGTCACACCGGAATAAGTTAATAAATTATTTTTATAAATAATCTCAAAGATCCCCTAAACGTTGATGTTAGGTTATGATCGGTTGGTAGGGGATACAACATATTTTGGCTCATTAATCGTAAATTAAATAATCCAAAAAATGGTATTAAAAAGTTAAGTAAGTACAGACAAAAGGGCTGAGATCTTTATGGTGTCCAAAAGAAGTAATTATATTTTACCTTTTAATTTCTTAAAATATTATATCTATAATGTATTATAAAACATTTGAAAAGAATTCTTATAAATCATTTTTATGCATAAAGTACCGTTTATTGCTGCATATTATTTAAAATTCAATATTACAAGCAAATTGTGCGTAAATACAAATTATTAAAGCTTCATGTTTCAATTCATGTAACTAACTTCATATAAATATAAACAAATATAGGATAAACATTTCATTTTAAATATAAAAAAACTAAAATATAATTATGATAATCATTAAGTTCTAACAAAACACTTAATTATTATTTTTATAAAAAATTATATTATTAAACCAAAAATAAAAAAATGAATTAAAAAAATACACAAAAAAGAAGAAATTTTAAGTAGTTAGTTTGATACTAATATCAATATTTTTTTATTTTTTATAATACTTTCATATTTATATTTTATTCAAAAATAAAAACAGTATCGTTTTCTCAAAACCACATAAAACCGTATTATAATATCGACTAAGACAAAAAAAAACGAAATTAAAATCAAGATTTATCTCGCTGCATCGCGCGAGTACCCTTCTAGTATATACAAACTAATCACATAACTATAAACCCATAAAAACTAATTTCACTCGTTGATGTAACCTAATAAATATCTCTTTTAATTAGAATCTCAATTATTTCTTGAAATAAAGTGTTAATAATAAATTGACTATGATAATTTTACATAAAAATCTAAATTGTAATACACATAAAATTTTGAGAAATAGCTAATAATCATTTATTTATTCGGCATTGATATATGCATAAAAGCAATTAAAAATATTTTCTAATTTTATTGCGTATGTGCATTTTATGCACATATGCATACAAAATCTTTTACTGTTTTATGTATGTGTATATCAGATAAATAAATGATTATTATAATGTTTCTTAGTTTTTTATTTTTTATGGTTTCTCTCTAAATCTAACATTATAAATACATATACATTGAGATAAATGAAAGATCATGTAAAAAAAAACGTAAGAAAAAATCTAAACCCTTGATCACCATTATTTTTCAATTACTGTCGATACACGACACATAGATGTGAGGGAGAGAGAAGGAGGTGAAGGGTAAGAATAGGTGGGGGTGGGAAGAAGGTGTAGCAGAAGAGGATGTACCTTACCTTATAGCTAATGGACCCCAAACCCCACTATCTCTTTTCCATATAACACTACTACACATTACACATTCATCAATTACTCTGCCTTCCTTCTTACTCGCCGGAATATTCTTTTCCACCTGCACCTCCACCACCACCACCACCTCCACCCTGCCATTTATGTAACTAAATTTAGCCTACCAGCTGGTTTCCATTCAATTCCTTCACTTCATTTTATACCTATTTGTAGATCACATTGTTTTCCCTTTTTTAGCCATACAACACTTAAAAGACACCCAATAGCCCATCATAATCACTTCCATCACACTTACATCACTTCAATTTCAACCATTTTTTTTTACATGAGAATATGATAGAATTACACGTATTAGATCTAAGGTCTATAATTCTAGAAACTCGATATTTTGGAATAATATGTGCCATTTTAACCTCGGTTGAAAAAAAAACATGTTAGAGTTCTACATTAGTTAGACTTTGACCAATTCTCTTTTATATATGTCTGAACATACGTTCTCTTTCCTTAAAGAACTGTTTTCGAGAGTAATCTATTGAGGTTCCATATAGTTCACAATATGAATAAAAAATAGCTTTGTATTTAAATGATATTAACGAAAAATAATTGTTTATATTAATACTATGAATCGGGTTCACGTGAGACCGGGTTGTTTTTATGAGATACATGAGACAAGTTTTTTACAGTTGAAACTTCACAGCGAAACACTGTAAAAGTAAAAAAAACCGAACTTTCATAGTAAAACACTGTAAAAGTTACATTCACAACATTTTACTGTGAAATTTCAAATATAAAAAATTTGTCTCAAACATCTTATAAAAACAACTTTGTGTCACATGATAACAATTCTTAATATTATAAAAGAGCCATCCTCCTAATGACAAAACACCATTCCCCTATCAACCCCATATAGCCTCTAATACTTCTATCCATCCTCTCTCTCTCTATCTCTCTCTCTCTCAAAAAAAAAAATATATATATATATATATATATATATATATATAAACTTCCCTTTCAAAATTCCAATTTCTGTCTCATGCCAGAGACAACTTTTCAGCTTTTTCTACACACATTTGGAACCCTTTTTCTTTTTCTTGATATTTTAATTAAATTAAAAAATGGTTTTTCCATTGATATAAAGCTTCAAAGACCGTCACCCTGTAGTACTGTTTCTGGCAGTGAAAAAAACAAGAAGACATCACAAAACCATTCATTTTTGGGAAAACAATACCACACCTTTCACTTTTCTGAAAACCTCCTTCCTCCCTCCCTCACAGAACCCATAAACCTCTCAAAAACACTTGTGCTTTCTTGTTTTTTCAACTTTGGTATGCACTTTACCCCCAAATATTGCTTTCCCAAAGCACTTATCATAACTGGGTTCTCTCAATCTCTGCTTCCTGCACCAAAAAGAGTCCATTTAAACACATTTCTTGGAGTGGTTTCTTGATCTTCATCTTGTGTGTAAATGGGAACGTTACAGAGGGATCCCATTGTTAAGAATGTGCTTAAGAATCTATGCTGTTCTTATGGATGGTGTTATGGTGTTTTTTGGAGTTTTGACCACCCAAATTCAATGTATGCCTTCACTTTCTCTACACACACAAACAATGAATCATATATAGTATATACAATGCATATAGTTGACCTTCATTTTTCTTGAAATACAGTTAGTGGCAAAAAGCCGCCTTCTTGCATAAATGCTGTTTATGGTTTCTTGGATCTTCTTATACCCAATGAGTTTTCTAGTCTATAATATGTGTTTTAATCCTAATCTTCGTGTTTATTTCGTGTGAAAAGATTCCAAATTCTTCTGGGTTTTTCTTCTTCTTTTTGTATGGTGAACTTTGAGATCATGAGCTCTGATTCTTTGAGTGTTGTCACTTGTTTGCCTACTAGATTCTTGACTATGCAAGATACCTATTTTCAAGAGAAATTTGGAGGTTTGATCGAAGATTTGCACCTACAAGTACCCATGATCGGAGGAGGGTATGCTCATTTACTCGATATAAAATACTAGAGAGCAGGTTTGGTTTGTGGGATTTGGAATTGGATTCCATTCCAATCCTGTAAAAGAAAAGTTTGGAATTAAAAACTCGGGTTTTCAACGGAATACACAAACATTCTCATGGTTATTTTACAAAGATATGTTAACAGTAAGTGTTTTTTTAATAATTAATTAATAAAATGGTAATTTTAATTATTATTATAATTTGTTTTTATAAAATATCTTTGAAATTCAATTTTTGGAAAGATTTGTATATATAAGAATTTGGAATCTTTTGATGTATGTTTATTTGTAGGATTTAGAATGGAATTAAATTTCATTATTTATAATTAATTTAAAAAAATTAATTAAAAATAATTAAATTATATTTTTATTAATTAATTATTACTTAATATTTTTTAAAATATTAGTACATACAATCTTTACAGAGTCCCAATAACAACACCTCCTAAAAGGATTTCAAAATTCTATGTTTATGGGATTTCAATGAAATTCCGAGATGAAATCCTTCGGACCAAAGATGTACTCAAATGAAATTCAATTCTAAATCCCTGCGATTCCAATCCAATCCACCGGACCAAACGGGCATGATTGTATATTACGTTAGATTCGAAACTAGTAGTGATAAACATTTTCTTGAAAATTTGAAGGGTAATTGGACAAGCTGCTTTTACCAAGCACCACCAATGGATATCCTTAGAAATTCCCAACAAAAGTGTACAAGATTCTTCAAATTCGATCTGGGATATGTTTCTGGTATGAATTCTTCAAATTGGATCTGAGATGTATGTTCTTGTTACAGTTCATCAAAACACACTGTAGAAATGGTGATTTTAATCTAGTTAATGTGTAATTTGCAGGATGATTCTGAATTTAATTGCCAGTTTTCCTCTGGTATAAAGGTAGTTTCTTTGGTTTAATCCTCTATCTTTGGATGGTATCGATTGAAAGGAACTTACCTGTTGCATACGTTAAATGATTTTGGTCCATTTTTGCAGACAATTGCAGCAATCCCAGTGGAACCACACGGAGTGGTACAGTTTGGGTCCACTGAAAAGGTTAACTCTTTAACAAGATCCTCAAAAACCCAATTCAGATTTCAAATCTAATGGAGTTCTTCTGATGATTCAGATTACGGAGACATCGGAATTTGTAAATCAAACGAAAAGAATGTTTTGGGAAATTGTAAATGTTAGAATGCTTGAAATTGCATCTTGTTCTTCTGCAAACAGCCAAACTTGTCCTCCAAATGGGTTGTTTCCGTACGAAGATGCCTGTTTTAGAGATGGTTCACTGGGACCCGCTTGTTCTTCGGTACAGTCGTGCTCTTTTAGCTCGAATTCTCAAGCCATGTTACTTGATCAAAATGAGCCCGTCACTTGGTTACAGCCAAACAATCTTGTTCCCCTCCAGGAATCATTAGCATCAGAATCAAGAAATCTTGAATCTTGGAATGCTTTTCCTACTCAGTCTAACACTTCTTTACCTTTGACAAACAAACATCAGGATTTGTTAGATTTCGGAATCCCGGATGAAATCCTGCAAACGGGTGATCTCGATATTTCCCAATGGATTCCTCCGTCACCCGTCCAAACCAATGACTTAATATCGCAAACCGAAAAACTTGTTCATACGAAAACAAGCGATTTCATATGCTCTACTGTTTCTGGGAATACAGGAAACTGGGGAGGCGTTTTGATGCCGGTTAACAATGGAAGTCATCTTAACTTCCATTCCTACAAGTCAATCAAGCATGTTGTTAGTAATGACTCTAATGCCCTTGGTCCAAGGAAAGGATTGTTCTCAGAACTTGGGATTGAAAAGCTTTTGGAGGGACTTTCTTGTACTTCAAACGGAATGCCACCTTCTTGCACCGACGATCGTGTTTCTTCAGCAGTGAAAAGAATGAAAACCGGGAATTTTATGAGTTCGTTACAGCCTGTTGTGTATAATAGTCTCGAGGGAAAGAAAGAGGCCATGCCTAAGTCGCAGACAGGTCTATGGATGGCTAATGCTTATAGTATGAACAGTTTGAGTCGGGTTTCACAAGCTAAGAAGGAAGTCGAACCTCATAAGGCCACGGTTAAGAAAGCTAAACCAGGGACTCGACCACGGCCTAAAGACCGCCAGCAGATCTTGGACCGTATGGCTGAGTTGAGGGAACTAATTCCAAATGGTGAAAAGGTATGTAATTCCAACACAAAATATAAATTCCATAACACTTGCAGGGGATTCAAATATGTCAGAATATCTTAAAAGACCGCTTTATAAGACTTAGGACCTATCTGTTAGCAGCTTAATGGGAAAGCAGCTTATTCACTAAGCGATACATGATTGCTTGGTAGTGGCTTAATGATATAGAAAGTGACTCATTTAGTAAGATTCTATCAAAGAGCTTATGCATCTTAGTGTCATATAAAGCCTATTTGTTGGGAGTGAATTTTTCGGAAAAGAACCATCCACCTCTTCCTAAGTTGAATAACTCGACTATTTTCACAGATGAGTATCGATTGCTTGTTGGATCGAACCATCAAACACATGCTTTTCTTGCAAAGTGTCACGAAGCATGCTGACAGAGTCAAACAGGCCGATGAACCAAAGGTGAGCCAAACTGAGCCTTTCATTCTACTTGCATACTATTGCTCAACGGTTACATATAGAATCATGGTTTCAAAATGATTTCAGAGTTGTAAAGACAAGGATCCAAGCTCCAACGGTGCAACATGGGCTTGCGAACTGGGAAATCAAACGATGGTTTGCCCGCTAATTGTTGAGGACCTTAGTACTCCTGGACACATGCTTATAGAGGTAAGGGAAAAGGTCATATGTGTAATAACTCATACACCATATGTTCGATGACTCTTTTGACCAATTGTTCGCGTTTCTGGTTCAGATGCTATGCGAAGAACAAGGATTCTTTCTTGAGATGGTTGGCGTAATCCGAGGCTTTGGCCTCATCATCTTGAACGGAGTGATGGAAGTACGCGATAAGATATGGACACGCTTTATAGTTGAAGCCGAGGTAACATATTCATCCAACCAAACGGATAAACAACACACTTACAGCACGAAAACACACCGCTACAACAAAATCGTCTTTATAGGACGCCAAATATGCCTAAATGTCTTAATAGACTGCGTTGTAGGACCAAACAGTTTTGCATATTATATAAAATGTATTACAGTAGGATGTTAGGACTTATTTGGTCATCCTAACAAGTTCTTATGAAATAAAGTGTTATATTAACTTTCCTACAAGACACTTTTGAAAAGTGTCTACTGAACACGTATTTTTACCAGATATTTGTTTTTACAAGATAATTTTAGAAAAAATTGTGATGTAAAAAGACTAATAAGACCCTTTATATCAAGTTGTCTTAAAAATCTTTTAGGACGTTTATCAACTTACTGTAACACATTTATATGTGGCACAATTATTTGGTCCTATAAACTCAAGTCCTGTTAAGCAGTCTATTAGGACACTTAAACATAATATGACGTCATGTAAAACCGATTTTGTTGTAGTGAACAGTAAAAGAGAAATCTTTCTTACAAAACGTGTTTATTTTGCAGGTGAAAAGGCATGTTACTAGGCACGAGGTGTTTTCAGCTCTCGTTCGGCTTCTACAAGTGACGTGCCTCGATGATAATCAGGTTCCCAATAAGGTTATCGAAGCAACTAATCCGCTATTCGACAGTTATGAGCAGTCTCTGGTGCAAAGCTTGCCCGAGACAGAATATTGCATAAACTTATAACCAAGTATTTATGAAAACTTTAACTTAACAGGTAAGGAGGTCGACATCCTTACAAAAAGTATTTATTAACGCCGTTGAATCGGCGGTTTTTCGTTTTGGGATTTGGTTTTAGGTTTGAAATTTTCTTGCCAGAAGTTTCCATGGTATGTTCATATTTGGAAACCAAACAGATACAACATATGTAGTTTGTAGGCTGACAGCCACCTTTGTGATTATTTCTATCTGAGGTTTGGTTAATGTTCCATAAGTTTTCCTTTTCTTTTTAACCCGTGAAGGCCCGTCGTTAACAGCTTAATGAGCTTAACAGGACTCGTAGCTTATCAATTAGCTATATATGATTGATTAGTAAATGATATTGAAAGTAACTTATTCGATAAGCTTTTAAGGTAAGTTTTACGTAAAAATCCAAGTTTTTTTCAAATCTGCTCCTCCGTTAAAAAATTCTTCATATATGAAAAAGACCTTCCAAGTTAAAAAATCCTTCCATATATGACAAAGACATATTTTAATCAACACAGTTAGCTTTATACATACAAAACTTAATGAATAACCAATCAAACGGCTCCTGAGATTCTTACTATTTGAATCATTTTCAGTTAAATCATAGTATTGAAAATTAAAAATAATACATTGATGTTGATTTATAGAGATACACAAAAAAGTTCGAACCTGATCCCTTTAAACCTAAGCCAGACCTCAAAGCTTGATGAGTCGAATTTCTTGCCTGAGGCCCATGCTGAAAAAACCTGTTGTCCCAAGCCTGGAAAAGCCTGATTCAAGCCCGACATACTTGCCCATGGAGGCGTAAAAGAGCCCACTCAAGGATAGAAGGAGGCATTGAGAAAACACACTAGTATACTTAATTCAAACAAGCAGGAGATGAAACGGAGCTCCACAAATGGGGGATCTATGAAGGCCCGATCGGGTTCTCACTCAATTAATTTTTCGTATTTAGATTTTTTTAAGGGTACAGAAGATGTATACGTTAAAATTTGAGGGCTGCTTCGGGATATTAGAAAATACAAGAAAAGTCAACAAAAAAACCCTCAAAATGTCACTCGAAAGTCGAAATCAACCAAAAAACTTTAAAAAAAATGCTACAAAACAATGGGATTCGGTTAAAAACACATCGAATGATTTTACAGGCCTTTTGATTTACTTTAAAAGTACACCTTGACAAAAATCTTGGAAATAAATTTCAACTTAAAAGATTTTCAACTACTTAAAATACAGGGTACATTTTATAATAACATAAACTTACGGGCTTAAAATGAAAATGACTTAAAAATACAAGGGGTGAAGCAAAAATTAAATTTCAAAGAAGGGTTTTGCCCTTTTGGGGTTTTCTCATCTGAATGTTTCTTGATTAATCGAGAACCCTCACATATGCTCGAATCATGTCTGAATGGTTCATTTACCAGGTTATGTCCGCATCATTCAGGGGCTAGTTTGTTTCACGATTGCCTTCCTATCGTCTTCATTGCTGCTCTCTTGGCTCTCGTATCTGATTTCATCGTCGCACCCTCATCCTGTTCTGCTTTCTTGAGTAATAGGTAAACCTTCGCCCATGTTCTCTTATTTTTCATAGTCTGTAATGACATTATCTGTTGAAATTCAATACTGCTTCTCCATCCTTGCACCATATCCTGTCTTCTTGTAGGTTAGTTTTTGTTTTACTTTCACACCCATCAAGTGTTTGTGTTATTGTCTGTGTGTGCTGTAGTGTCACTGGGAGTTGTTACTGATATGGGTAAATTATATTTTGACTGTTGAGGTCAAGGACTTGCACTTTTCTGGTGCAAGATTGATATAAATTTCTTTGCAACTTAAACACCAACCACATTTATACGTTTTTTGTATATACAAGTTAAGTTTGATTGCTTTTGTTCTGTTGGGTCTTTTCTTTGAAGTGGCAAATGGGTTAGATTTCTTTCTCAATTGCATATTCATTTGCAACTTGATCTTGTGGGACTGAAGCCACACCACAGGCTGTGACAAACATAACTCTTTTGATCTCAAAGTTTCATAAGAAATCAAATGTTGCAAGTATATGTTTCTTTGAAGTATGTGGTGTACATGTAATCGTGAAAGTTTTTGTGATGTTAATAAGCTGTTTTCATCGAACTTGCGTGATTGTTGATTATAGAAGTCAAATTTATTTCTTTGATCATACAAGTTAACTTGTCGTTAAATTTAATTTGGGGATGATACATAATCTATTTCGGTGTAGATATGTTTGGACAGTTGTAAGAATATTGCTGAAGTTGAATGCTTGAATAAGTAAACATATGAACTGAATTACAATGATTGGTGCTAAGGGAACTGCACACCGACTTCCTTTTCTTATTGAATCAAATGATTCAACTTGCAATTGGGGTCTTAGCGATGGTGAGTTGATGACCTTTTGTCAAGCAGTATCTGCATGTTCATAGATGATATGTTGATGATAATCAGTACCAAGACCAAGGAGCTATCAAGGAAATCTGCATATGTATTATGTACATTTGTGTGTGTGGATTCTTGCTTTTCTGTTCTTCACTTCAAATTTGTGTTATATGTTGTCCTAATTGGTAAACTAATTCAGCCCATGACAAAGTTTTGTAAAGTTCGTGAAAAATTGAATCTTGCTCTGTGATTAACTTCTTGATTGGTTTTTTGTCTGCCAGGAAGTGCAATAATGGCGGATTCAATCATTACTTCCGAAGCAACAACCAGTTCATCCCCACTAGATCCTCCATCCCGTACTATCTGTCGTGTGTATGTTCTTCAAACCCTTCTAATTCAATTTTATACTGTATCTGCATGTTTTCAATACGTATTTTATTTTGCAACTCCATCAAATGGAATTTATGATTGTTAGTGATATTCTTGTGTTTACATGCAGATGCCAAAAACAATTTTCGCAATATACATGCCCTAGATGTAATACCCGTTATTGTTCGCTTCCATGTTACAAGGTAATCTTATCTTTACTCTCCTTGTTTTACACAAACTGGTGTCCACTTTGAGAATTGTGTTTGTTCTACATTTCCATCCAAAACAAAGATACACCAATTGAATTCTTAAATGCGAAAGGAGGTACCTTTTAGATTCATATCCATTAGAATTCGTTTGGTCATAAAGAAAAAAATGATAATTACATGGAACAATTTTCCAACTCTAAACTTAAAAACATAGATGTGAAATTTGGATTCCGTTATACAAGTTTTGGCTTTCTTAAGAAAAGTGGGCACTAGGTTATGCGTTGAGAGAGTACTGGTAATATCAATCCAGGGGTCTTCTCAGAATCAGCCGCTCTGGCTTTGCTATGTGGGGTAGAGGAAAAGTCTACCTACTTCCCACTCTCAGACCCTACTTTCGGGTGAGATATATTGGGTTGGGTTGGTTTGGTTTGGTTTGGTTCAGAGTATCGGTTATAAGCAATCATTCTTCCTTGCTTATGGAGAATTGGATCGCTCATTAAGCTGATATTGTTTTTTGTGTTTTCAATTTCATTATGGTATTGGAATCCTAAAGTTTCTGTTCGTATGGTTTTGTTTAATCGTCGCAGTCACACAGTCTCCGATGCACAGAATCGTTTATGAGAGATAATGTGATGGGGGAGATGCAGCAACTGGAACCTGGTGATGACACTAAGCAGAAAATGCTGGACATACTGAAACGATTTCATTCAGAGGAAGAGACTGATAACTTGGACGATGATGGTAAGTTATTAATTAGGGTGTTTCGCTAAAAGGCAGGACAAAATTTGTTGCATCTTTCTTGATTTGAATTTGAATCTCTTGCTTCAACTTTCCCCTTTTGCTTCTAAAAGAAATTATTGTCACTACTTATTATGTTCTTGCAATTAAGACTTGAAGCTGTGCCAGTGGATGGAAATCCTTCGTACCAGATTTTAGAAGTTTATATTTACTAGATTGTTTCAGATCCCAATTTCGAGTGGGATATACTGTACTCGTTTGGTTTGGTTTGGTTTGGTTTGGTTTTATCACTGGATTGTTTGTGATTTTAGGTTTGGCGGAGTCAGCTTTGTCCGAGGAGACCATTCAAAAGATCATGTCCGGTATGTTTGCAGATCGTTTCTTTTTATATTTTGTCTAGTTTTTTTCACAGAAACAACTTCTCTGCTCTGTGTTGGATCTAATGGGTACGTTTGGTTTTTACCCGAGGAAGTATGTGAACTTATTTGCATTTGTAGGACTTGAAATCAGCTTTGATGATTTATCCAGCGAAGAAAAGAAACATTTTCAAAGAGCCGTGGCTTCTGGAGAGCTAAGCAAATTGATTGAACCATGGGAACCATGGTGGTTAAAGCCCTCCGCTAGAACAATATCTCTCAGCCGGGAAGGAACCCAACGTGTTCAACCTATAACAAAACAGGAACCCGACTCCTCACCCCATGCCCACGAGGTTCCACCAGGTCCTGAAAACGCATTGGCTCCAATCAACAAGCTCAGCTCAACTGAACCATCCCCGCTTTTAGCTGTTCATCTTGTCGACATATTATATAGCTACTGTTTCACCCTTCGGCTATACAATGGAGATTGGGAATCAGATCCAATGGGGTCGGTCATGGTGGTTTTGACCATTTCATTCGTTTTGGGTCAAGGTGGTCAACCAGAAACGGTGTCCGAAGCCCTGTCTAACTGTTTGGAACAAACTTGCTCTCCGGCTTTCAGGCACATGGGTGGGTCACGGTTCGGGTTGGGGCTTCTTGATGATATTGTGAGCTTATTGTCTCTTGGAGGTGATGGTTTGGTTTGTGGGCTTTGTGATCTGCGTAGGATGATTAAAAGTGGTATGAGAGAAGTGAATCTCGATAAGGGACGAAACATGAAGCGAACGGAAGTAAAGCGGAAACTTACGTCTGGTGAGCGGAAGGTTTATTTTTTGATGTGTTGGGTGCATGAACAGCCACCAGAGGCTTGGTCATCGTTGGCGGCCTTGGTGGTGGCCGAGAAGAAAGCCGCCATGGATTACATAGGTGGCAATGGAAATGGTGGTGGGAGAGGCCGGAAGAAGGCTGAAACGAAGGGGAAGGTTATAATCGAAGAGGTCCAGTAAGCCACCGTGGTGGTGGTTTTATTTTTGCCCAATTTTGCAGGTTGAAAGAAGAAATATTTGATTTGGAGTTAAAACTAAAACTATCATGTAAGAAAGGGTGTGACGTTCTACCATTCGAGGGGCTTGACAATTTGTGTCTAACCTTTGCAAGGGGCATGTTGGAATCCCACATGAATTTGACTTAGGGGTTGTTTACCAAACACTTATCTGGTAAGCGTTTATCAATAAAATTCAACACTATCAGTTACTTACCGGACAAGATTTTAGTCCATCAAAAAATAGTCGTATACAACAATTTGCCCTGTAATTTGCCCTGTAAGCGCTTACCGTGGTAAGTGAGCAGTAAGAGTCGTCTTGTTTCGCTCTTACTGGGTAAGATTTTTGGTCCTTATCATATTCATCTGGTAAGCTAATGTGACTTGGTAAGTGCTTACCTGGATAAGCGTTTGGTAAACGGCCCCGCCCCTTAGACTAGCTGAGCCTTTATTATCTTATTTAGGGACCTTTGAAGAGTAATCTAAATGATCAAGTGAATGGAGTTGTAACTAAAATTATTGTCGACAAGCGTACGTGTTGCGCCTTTGGTTTGTTTGTGCCGTTGAACGATTATATCATAAGCATATGTAAACATTCTTTTAGGTCTCGTTTTGTTTATAAGATTGGATAGGATTTGGTGGGATTTATAATTCAATTTTATTTCAATCTCTGTTTCGTTTGAAAGATTGTTTGGGTCTGGAATCCCAGGATTTCATAAAAATCCCACAACCATGGAATTTAGGAATTTCATGGAACTTCTTGGTATTTTACGGGATTTCATAGGATTTGTGTGTAATAATATTTTAAAATACGTTGAAAGCATTTATTTTATAAAAATCGTTAACAAAAAAATTAATTTAATTATTTTTATAATTATTTATAATATGTTTTTATAAATTATTTACAAAAAATTGGAATTCAATTTCAATTCAAATCTATACTATATTATAAAACATTTGACAAAAACTCTAAAAAATAATTTTTTATATATGAAATACTGTTTATTGATGCATATTACTTGAAATTCAAGATTGTAAATAAATTATGCATAAGTACAACTTATAAAAGTCTTATGTTTGAATTTGTGTAACTAAGTGCGGGTAAACATAATCAAATAGAGGATAAACATATTATTTTAAAATATAAAATATAATTGGGATAATTATTGAGCTCTAACAAAATACTTAATTATTATATTTATAAAAAAATATTATTAAACCTAAATTAAGTTACTTTGTTACGATAAATTAAATTATAACAAAAAATTTGAATTAAAAAAAATACACAAATAAAAACTTGTAAATAGTTAATTTGATACTAATATTAATTTTTTTTTGCAAATTTTATATGATATTTTCAAATTTATATTTTATTTAAAAATAAAAACATTATCGCTACCACATAAAATCGTATTATATACATCGATAAAAAAATAAAACGAAACATTGAAATCAAAATGTGTCTCGATGCATTGCATGAGCATCCTTCTAGTACTACAAAACAAACACGCTCAGATTCAAAATTCTTTCAAATCCAATTTCATTCAATTTCAAACCCCTCAAAATTATTCCATTAAACCAAATGCTCCCTTAGAATTTGTTTGATTTGCAGGATCTGCTAACATTTGAATATAAATTATATTTCAGTCGTGTATTTGGTTCAAAGAGAGTTTGGATTTTAAAATCCTTTCTGTCGCCTCCATATCTTATCGATACAAATAAATTATCGAGAAAACAAACAAATATTGAACTGGATTGGGTTTGCCGATGAGAGTGAGATATGTAGATAAAAGAATTGTAGAAGGTTTTAAAATTTTAATTTAACATGAATAATACAGTTTTTTCAATTATGTTCCACCTATTCTAGTGGGATAGAGAAAAAAAATATTCCACCGAGTCCAATTCTAACTTAGGAGCCGTTTATTAAATGTTTACCCGGTAAGTGCTTACCGAACAATTTTTCTCACCGGATTAACATAGCAAGGGCCAAGAATATTACCTGGTAAGAGCGATAATTATGATGGAGAGTCTTACCCGGTAAATGAGGATGACGACTCTTATCCAGGGTAAGCTCTTACCGAGTAAATTGTTGCATAGGATACTGTTTTGATGTACTACAATCTTATCCGATAAAAATAAATTATAATGTTGATTCCTATTGGTAAACACTTACCGAGTAAGCATTTGGATAAACGGCCCATTAGTTGTCCCAACAAATATGAGATAACAATTTTTTGTTATGTCATGTCCAATATCATCCCGTATACCAAAAGCGTCGTTACAAAAATATCAAAATGATGTTTTAGAGCATTTCCAACAGACATGTCTATATATATATAGGGAAAGGTTCAAACGAGAATACCCTAATTCTATGAAAATGCGAAAACACTTATTGGCCTCCAAATTAATTAACATATAACAAAAATTAGAATAAATAAAAATAAATTAGTATTTATCCATAATTTTCTATTATCTTAGATTTATCCTTATCTCTTAAACTTTGTTATTATCATCAGAGATTTTTTTGTTGTTGATGCGTCTGTTGTCGATAATGATATGATAATATTGTGATAATTAGATGATTTTGTCATGATAAATGATAATAATGTGATAATGATTTGATAAGTTGAAGATTTTTTATGATTTGATTTTGATGTGATAATCATTTAATAATTATATGATTTTTGTTGTGATAGCGATGTGATAATGTTGTGATAATCGAAAACCAACGATGATCACGTCTACATTCATCGTTCTGTTTGTTAATTATGTGATTTTGCTGTGATGATAATGTGATAGTTATTTGATATCAGGTAACATATTATCTGTATGTGATTATAGAGATAAGGATGTCAGTGATTATAGAGACAAGGATGTCACCAAAATTACAGATCAATACGAAATAACATGATTATCCTTAATTAAATAATTTATTTTCTTTAAATTTTAATTATGGGTTAAATAATTTTGAGGCCCATAAATGTTCTCACATTCTCGTAAAACATGAGTATTGTCGTTTGAACCTCCACACACACACACATATATATATATATGGAAAAAAATACTTAGTAATCATTCACCTGCATGGGTATACACATGTACATACAAGTAATTTAAGTTGTTTCTTGATTTTTATGCATGTTATGCATAAGTGCATACTGGTCAAATTGCTTACAAATTACTTGTATGCATATGTGTACATACCATCCAGATAAAAGGTTACCAGGATATTACTCAGTTGTTCATTTTTTTGCGGTTTCCCCTTAACCTGACCTTATATGTTCATATTTAGGGATTTCTTCATTCTTTCTCTATTTCAGAGGATGGTTTAGCATAACTATTGGACAAACTTTTTTCAAATCATACCAAAGAGTTTTTGGCCTAGTGGTTTCGTAGCAGTTGACCTAGGAGATTAGGAGTTCAAACTTCACCATAGATGAGAATAGTATATAAGTTTATTTGTTGCATTTGACGTATATAAATATTATATACTTAAAAAAAACTTTTTCCAAATCATCAAAAATTCTAAAATAACAAAGCCATTGGAGATGCTCTTAAATTTATTACGTATTACACTGATCATCTTTGCTCCCTATGAGATAAAACTCATGCCTTATAGAAAGACAGAGATTCAACGACATGGACCATAGACGAGATAAAAAAGGACATCATAGAATCGGTGGTATGGCCGTTTGGGCCCCGATTAGTCCTACTACTTGACCGGTCAAAAACCGTTTTTGAAGGTCCAAAACAAAAACAATAACTAGCTTTTTACAAAAATAAATAGAACAATACAAAACCTAACTGGTTTAGATTACCAATATCATATCAGTTCTAGTTTTCGCCCCAAAGACTATTCAGTCATTAAAAACATTGAATTTTCTTTTGTATCATTCAAACCGGACCATAAAAGCCCGAACCAAAAATTGATTATTATGCCTTGGGGTTCTTTTATAGGTTATTTGTTCGAGTCTGATCATTAAATGATTTTCCTAAAACTTCTTCAAGGCCCCTGTGTTTAGGGGGTGTTTGAGATTGCTTATAAAAACAAATTATTGACTTATTCTGGTGTGGTACCGGTAATAAACACTTTTGAGTGTTTGGATAAACAATTACAGAAGTTTTTGAAAAAGTTAAACCCTTCTAACTTATAATAAGTTGATAAATATTTTTATAAAAAAATATAAATTATTTCAAATAAATAATCCCAAAAACGAGTCACTTACGAACTGACATTAGAAAAGAAAATAAGTAATTAGTTATTGTGCAGAGAGATCCAAGATTTTCTCGATTTGAATAGTTGTTGGTGTGGAGATATTTTGGTATGTTTTCAATAATTTTACTTAAAAAGGTAGTGTCTGTGTCGTCATTTGGGTTCGAGCAATTCCCAAAACACCAAACCCTTTGTCAAGAAAATCACCATCCCTCTTCTCTTCTTTGTTTCTCAAACCCTAATTCCATCGTTTCTTCATTGATCTTTCGTAAACTTTATATTTGTATACAGATTGATTGAACCTATATAGATACGAGACTGAGAGATGAGTGGTTCGGCTGATAAATTAGCTCACTTTCAAGCAATTACAGGTCTCCAAGACGCCGATTTGTGCACCGAGATCCTTTCTGCTCATGGGTGGGACCTTCAACAAGCTATCTCTAGTATTACTTCAACATCAGATTCCGATCACGCCACTTCCGCTACCGACAATATCGCAGCCGACAGATTTGAACAATCAGGATTTGTTGCCGCCGAGGGTGCAGGTCCACCAGGTTTAGCATGGAAACTCATCTCGCTTCCCGTTTCCATCGTTTCTGGAAGCCTAGGGTTAGTTTCCGGTGCTGTTGGGCTTGGTTTATGGGCGGTTGGTGGTGTTCTCTCTTATTCCCTAAGCATGATCGGGTTGACTAATTCCGGACGTAATGACGGATCGCCCTCGACTCCTTTAGTTTCTCTGTCAACGGCAGCATCAGAGGCGATGGATTTTGTGTCCAAGTTCGAGGGTGAGTATGGAGATAGACATCCGGATTTTGTTTYCGAGGGTTTTATGGACGCGTTACAGCGGTCGCGGCATGAGTTCAAGCTGTTATTTGTGTACTTGCACTCGCCAGATCATCCTGATACACCATCCTTCTGTGAGGACACTCTGTGTTCCGAGGTTTTGTCAGCGTTTGTAAATGAGAACTTTGTCGTTTGGGGTGGAAATATCAGGGCAAGTGAAGGGTTTAAGATGAGTAACAGCTTGAAGGCTTCCAGGTTTCCTTTCTGTGCTGTTGTTATGGCAGCTACTAATCAGAGAATTGCTTTGCTCCAGCAGGTATCTAACCTATCTTAGGACTCTTAAGTAGACCAATAAAATGTTCTCTTTTTTGGAGTTTGAAGAGTGTTAAACCATTAGAATAAACCAGTGCTTACCCAAACTAAAATCAGCATTTATTCCAACTAATGGTGTTTCATATGTCAATATAGGATAGATGCACCAATTTGAGTTGAGTGGTGTATCAAGATTCAAGAAATTCATTGTTCTTCTATGAGAAGTACCTTGTTTATCAAATTAACACGGAATAACAAACTTTTAAGCTGAAATTTCTTTGTGCTTTTCTTTTATAGCAACAGCTGTATGCCATATACTTGCTGACTTCCCTAATTTGACGTATGATGTAGTCTAACTTATATAGTGTATCAGTGTTCACTAGGACCTTGAGTTATCAAGCATTTTGAATAGATATGATGGTTGGTTTTATGCAATTTGAACGAGTATGATTCTCTGTGTCTAATTTGGGTAGTTGCAATTTCAAGAGTTAATGGATTATCATGTATACCATTGTACTCGGAGCAATGTGGAAAGCAAAGGTATGTCATATTTTTGCTTGTTCTTATCATTAAGTGCTCTTATTGGTATTAGAAATCTGCCATTAACTTTTGTGTGATTGTGAACCTTCAGTCCTCAAGTATCTGCTGCTTATCTTGTGAACATAGAAGACTATTGTGTCTCAATAGTCATTAACTTATGTACAAATAAGTTTACCATAGGCATGACTTTCATTTTTCTAAAAGTTTAGAATGTGACAGTTCACATATCATGTTCATGGCAGTCAATGTTATAAGACAGGTTGAGGATAATCTTTTAGATGGGATAGCTCTAAACAATAGAAATTGGACTATAACTTTTTTACTAGGAAATTGGTGTTTGGAATATTTTAGGTGTTGTTTGCTCAAGTTATTATTGGACTGAAAGCTTTGGCATGGGCTTTAGGTGTAAAAACTAATGCATTAGCGAGGCAACATCGTTATGCATATTGGTCTTATCAGGCAGACAGGTACAAGGTACACCAAGTAACTAAAAATACTGTGGGGATTTCTGTCTTTGTTGACTAGCACTAGTGTACCATCCATAAGATAAATTAAATAGTGCCTGGGTCTTGTTTATTTTATGATTTTCATCCTCAGACACTTACATTTCTAGTGTTATTCATTGATTTAAGTTCCTGCACACAAAGTACCTCAAGGAGTGAAAGGTAGAGATCTCCTAATTTTCTTCCATCCATGCATATTATGTAATGGCCTTCCTGGAGCCTATCCAATCTTTAAACTTTGTGAATGTATTTTTGTATTTTACAAGTGTAACAATGTATATCATTTGTGTAATTAGTATGTTATTTTATTTATTGTAGGTTGAGGGACCTAAATCACCTGAAGAAATGCTTACAGTGTTGCAGAGGGTTCTTGAAGAAAGTGCCCCAGTTCTTGTAACAGCACGGCTTGATGCTGAGGAACGTCGAAATAACATACGACTGAGGGAAGAACAAGATGCTGCATATCAAGCTGCACTTGAAGCTGATCAAGTATGTTCTGATTCTATTTTTTGTATTGTCATTTGATGGTTAGGACCTAGTTAATGAGCATGCAGCTGCAAATGCTTAAACACCGAACAGTAGAATCTGAACGGTCCCACAAGATGAATAGCATTTGTTGAAGCAAAGCCACATACAGTCCCTATTTACGTCTACCTGGAAGCATTTAACTTCACCCTTCCTTTGCTTTAACCTGGGACATATAAGTGAGAAGCATTGGAGCCGTTAACACCTTCATTTACACTTTTAAGCTGGGGATGTAAATTTAAAAGCTGGAAAATGAGCTGGATACAAATAAGCACCAATGATGAGTAGATGATGAAAAGACATAAATCTACATATATTTAATATATCTGTCATATGTGTATGTATCATTGGGGTGGCTGGGTGAAAGAACATAGCAGATACGTGAATGCGGAGATAAAGAGGTGACTCATAATGAGGGTTAGTACGAGAAACGATGATATACAGGAGAAAATTATGACAACACTGGTCGAAAAATATGCCGAGTGAAGACCGTATGAGTTGGTTCGGTAATATCAACGTTGACCTTGAGATGCAAAAGTTTGGTTGAGGAGATTAGTACCAAGAGGTTTTGTGGTGCAAACTAGCTAGTAAGTTAATTGTTGACTAATAAAGTAGTTGTTGGTTGATAAGCTAGCTGATAAACTAGTCATGTTTGGTAAAAACTAACTGATAAACTAGACCACAATGTATAGTGACCTAAAATTGCATGTTGAGAAAGTAATTGGAAAAATATAAGGGATGTAATTGTTAAAAGCCACTTGGAAGTAACTTTTCAAAAGGTTACTATTATGGCTAACCAAACGGAGATTTTTTCAATAAGCTCATAAATAATTTACCTTATAGCTGCCAAAGATGGCCTTCTTAGGAGAGGCAGAAGTCAGCCAAGATTAACATGGGGGAAAGTAGTAGAATGATGTTTGAGTGAGTGGACAATACCAAAGGAGATGGTCTTAGATTGGAGCGTGTAGAAGGACACTTTTCATGTCTTGAGGTCCACCTATTTATGACGTTTATTGGGTTTCACCTCATAGTTCTGCTGCGTACGTTTTTGGCATGGCTTCAACTAGTTTGGGATAAAAGGCTTTTTGTTTATGGTGATTGAAGGAGTTTACAACCATATGCTTTGACTGCTTAACTTTATTTTTATGCTGAATCAGGCCAGGGAACGACAGAGGAGGGAAGAGCAAGAACGACTAGAAAGGGAAGCTGCTGAAGCTGAAAGGAAGCAAAAGGAAGAAGAAGAGGCTCGTGAAAGAGCGGCACGTGAAGCTGCTGAAAGAGAAGCTGCATTAATTAAACTGCGTGAGGAAAAATCACTTTCTTTGGGCCCTGAACCTGAAAAGGGACCTGATGTTACACAGGTATTCCCTGCTCGTCATCTTAACTTCATTTTTAATGCTAATACATGTTCTATTTGTATAGGTCTGAATCTTTTCTTGAGAAAAATATAACTTTCAAATAAAGTGCAATAGCTTCAGTGAGAATTCTTAATAACTTACATAGCCAGCGAACAAAAAGCCTTATAATGGTAGGGACTTCAGTATATTAAAATATATTGGTTTACTAAGCATGAAAAGTTGTTCCTTTATCTCTTATATACTGAAATATACATCCAGTATGACATAACAAAAATCTCAAATCTATTTCCTGTTGATTTTGGAAACCCCATGAAATGAAAATTTAAAGTAAGACATGATATGTTATGATAATTATTTGTTCATCACCAACCAATCTGGAGAGAGAGAAGACAATGTAAATTGTTATATGTCTAATTTTGGTTTTTGAGGATAAATCTGGAGGTGTGTATCATTATGGAACATAAAAAGCATAGCCAGCAGCTAACGACAAATTTAGGGAGATACAGGAACTCCAACGAAGAGGATGTCCTGGCAGCCAACTAAATGGTAAAAATAGGCCAAAACATCATTTCCAAAAAGGATAATCAGTGATTCACAGCTTTTGATTTTTGAACATATTGGAGTTGATACTTGACTATTTTTATATGAATATGATTGTTGAAGAACAAGAAGTCTTCAATTCGAAACTAGTTGGGCCATGCTAAAACCAAAACCATGAGAAATTACTGAAGGAGAAATCTGGAAACATGGACTTTAAAATGTACTCGAGTTTGGATGTTCATAAATTTATAATTGTATTGAACTTGATGGTAGGTATTGGTTCGGCTACCAAATGGAGAACGAAAGGGAAGGAGGTTCCATTGTAGTGCAACAATACAATCTCTATACGACTTTGTTGATTCTTCAGGTATCTTGGAAATGGGAAGCTACACTCTCGTCACCAATTTTCCTCGTGTTCTGTATGGTCCGGAGAAACTCTGTTTAACACTGAAAGAAGTTGGATTACATCCTCAAGCCAGTCTTTTTGTGGAGCAGAAATGATAGAGGTGAACAGAAGTTCAGTTTCCGTGGTATAGGATTTTGTTTTTGTCGTTAATCAAGTCTTCTATCTAACCTTGATGAGCGAAGAAGACCAATTCTGTGGTTAGGACCAAGTTGTCATCAAATATTCATTGTTAACGATGTAATATTATGCAGATTAGTGTTAGTCTGGATATGTATTGACCTAGTAAATAAACCAGACCCACAAACAGAATGCTTTGTTCATTTTATGAGATAACGGCTATATCCCTTAACTAGTTTGTTTTAGGTATTTCATCTTCCTGCATCTGGGATAATTTCTGAACATGGTCTGCAAGTATAGGGATCAAATCTGTAAATTAGTCTCGAAACTTAATACTACTGGTAAACCGGACTAATTTACAAATTTAGTTATTGTACTTGCGGACTTGTGTTCAGAAATTTCTTTTCTTTTCACTTTTTGATTGTTACTTTACTTGTGAAGGTAGTGGCGTTTTAGAATTTTTAGGAGAAAATGGATAAAAGGTTAATTTTTTCGGCTGAAATTGCTATTTTTGTTAATTTCTCATATCGAAACAAAACCTCAAATATTAAGTTATATTTTTAAATCAGAATACGAATGTGTTTGAAATATAAATATATGCAGTTAAAATCTTATTTTCATTTTATGTTTTGTGATGCGATATGACCTTAGAGCATCATATACGATAACAAGGGCAAACCTAACCGGTTAAGGCCTGACCGATTATGCCGAAAGTGTAACCGGTTAACATGTTCAAAATATCAGTCGGGTCTCCGAGCCTTGGGTAACCATTCATGTGATGGGCCTTGAGTTGTGTTCTCAGGTATTGTTTTACGAAGGAAAAGAGGGGAAATGGGAGGAAAGTAGGAAAGAGAAAAAAAATATCTTCTGTTCTCAAAGCTTTTTTTTAAAGAGGAAACGGAAATAAAACAATATTTGTTTTCCTTCCAAAATTTTCATTCCAAAAATGGAAGGGATGGGAAGAAAATAAAAGGAAAAAATTAAAACAATCAAAAATATTTACAAAATTACATGTATAGTCATTAATTACATTCTATCATAAAATAAATAAGGATATATTTGTAAAAAAAATATTTTTTTTCCTTTTCCCATGAAATTTTAAATTAATTCCTTTTCAATTTCTATTTATTTTAAGAATGCAAATAAAAAGAATTTTCCATTCGAGTTTTATATAAACAAGTCAAACAATGTTCAACCTCTCAATCTCGCAAACGTTTTTACGTTCAATAATCTTGTTTTAAGATAATTTAAAATTGAAAAATGGCTCTTAAGCGGGATCTCCATTTTCCTACGTCTACGGTTAACGCCCCTACCAATCTTGTTATCAAAGCAATTTAAGTATAACTGAAAACTCTAATTTAACAACAATTCGATCTGCGGTTATGTTTATCGTAAAAGAAGAGCAAGATTTAAACATCGTAATACGCTGTTCATGACCGTGGGAAATTTCATCTTAAAACGTCACATTGCAAAACTTTATTTGTTTATTTATTGGTTCATATACTTGGATTTGGTTTTATATTTCATAAAAATGTACATGTGTAAAAAAAATTATATCAGATTATTAATTTCGACTACAAACTTCTCTATCAAAATTCAAATCCAGTCGTCAATATTGAACGTCAACACATACCCATTTCAATTATCATAACGAATTTGCTATTTATAGAAATGACATGTTCGTCGAACGACATCCCGAAACGTTACGTTTTCGAGAACTTATATTTATATTAAAATATAAAATAAAAAAAACATTATTTTATTTATGTTTCATTATAAAATAAAGTGAATTGGATGGTATTTGCTTTTGGCCTATTTGCGCCGCCGCAAACCCCCACGAATCACGGATGTACTATTCCTTTGATGACGAGAAAGGTATTGTTACACAAACTCCCCTTTAAGTTTACTTCAATTTCATAAATTACCCTTTTACTTCTAAATGTAACAAAAAAGACCACACTTCTATTATTTACTTTCATTCTTCGTTTTTGAATTTATGGTTTTTGTTTTTCTGTCTTTTAAAACCAAGTTACCTTTTGCTACACTCTGTCGTTTGAAATAGAATACAACTCTGTAATTATATTCGTTTGGTTTGTTTCTTTTAGTATACCTATTGGTGATAGCTGATATTTATCTCAACTACCGTAATTACTTGTGTTTTGCTATCCTGTTGCTCTTTATCACTCACAACCATGTTAAAAATCTAACAGATGTTTGTCTTACTACTGGATGTTTATTTACTTGACATTTTCTGAATTTTTGAGTACCAATCACATTTATGAGTTCTGATTTGTAGAATTACTTTCCTATCTGTGCATCTTCATACTTGTATTTTTTTGTTTAATTATATAATTTTTCTATTATCTCCAAATAAAACATGGTCAATTTTTTTGAGACCGTACTTAAATGCAAGGTTTTACAGAATATCAAGGGTTAATTTTAATTTCAAGAACTTGTAGGCACTTTTGAAAAATAAGACTAAACCATGGGGTGGTTTAAGCACAAAATCATCATAAAATTATGACCGTACCTTTTTAGCTTTATCCGGTTAATTAATTTTGGCGTGGTTTTAATTTACAAAAACCATCCCTACATTATCAAATAACACATTGATTTCTTTCAATAACAATTTTTTTTGCAATATTAGTAAAAAACAATCACATTTTCCATCAATTTAGTCGAGATGTATGATGACGTCACTGGAGCTCCATTAAATGTAACGTGTGCAAAAACATACAACCGTAATAAAGAATAGTATTGAATCCAATGAGGAATAAAAATCCTCTTGTGACCACGAATGTACAAATGCGATGACTCCGGACTATCTGCAAAGCAGGTAGTCGTCTTGAGATTAGTCAGCTCTCATAACAGGTTGGATATCCAGGTTAATAAAAATAAAGAATAGTATTGTCTTTATATTCAAATTTATACTTTTATGTTCTTTTTATACATTAAACAAAAATAATAATATAATAACTGAAGTTGAATTCTATTAGAAACCTACAAAAAATAAATCCCTCCAAGAAGCTTTTATGCCAAGTTGTTTTCTACGTCCCTCGATTTAAGTTTAATTATGACCAAAATGTTATAAGAACAACTATTTTGAAACAAAAATACAAAGAAATAAAGTAATTGGATATAACATGAAGATTGTGCAATAGATGAGGGACTAGTTATGTAAGTTGGTTCCTTAGAAAAGGCAGGTTTATTTTGTTGAAGATTAGAAAGATGGTTTCATCGTAGGATTGTAATTAGGGTTTTGTAAATCTGTCAATGCTTGCCTCCCGATTTTCAAACATTGCTTCCTTTCGATTCCTACTAGTCGCTACACGATCTAAAATCCTGCTTCTCCGTCCTTCATAGGGGGGGCTTGGTTTCTGGGTTTTTGGTTCCCTTAATTCTTGCCCCCATCGTCTTGCTTGCATTTAAAGCAATTGCGTCACATATGTATATATGCATGATTGGGGATCTGAAGATTGCGAGTTATGGATAGGGTAATTGGACAACAAGTACGTACGGTCGATAGAATTTTGATTCTTTCGAATAATTCACACACATTATTGCCGATGAGTTTTGCTGGAAATTACTTCAGGATCCGATCATCCATCGATTCTTTTTCCGTTGCTTGTGAAGCGTTTTCTGAACGTTGTCAACTCTAGGGTTTCCATTCGTTTTTCTTTCCTTCGTAGCTTCTTTTGTCCTCTACGTTATTCGGATCCGTCGCCTTGTAATTGTTGGTACTAATGGCTTCTGAAGTGGGGTTATTGGGGCCTGAGAATGATTTGCTTGCGAAATTGAAACTGAGTTCGAAAGTAAGACCAGAGCTTGAGGATGCTGATGCTGTAGAAAGATGCCCTAACGATCGTTACATCCGGGTAAGTTCAAACTTCAATGTATACTATTCCAATATCTGTTGCGAAACAGTTATCTTTAAGGGAAAAAATATTCATCATCTGACGTTTATATAGCTATGTTGCTTGCATTGTTATTATAAAGATACCCCTCCTGCAGAGTAAGATCGGAGTCTTACATATGATATCACTAGATTTGAAGGAACATAATAAGCCTTAAGACGATAATTCTGCTTAAATTGATTTTTGTATGGTTATGTTGCAGTGTATTTATATACATTGGTCTTTTAAAAAATACGATGTTTCATCAGCATTGCACATATATCAACTAGTATAGATTTTACTGTTTGGTTTATTGGCCCTAGTCATGTTCTTACTGGTTTCTTAGTTCTTTCTGTTTCTTTTCTTCAGTATAATGAAATGCTGGGGAGAGGAGCATTCAAGACTGTGTATGCTTTCTGCACTTGCACCCTATTTCCCTATTTTTAAATTTGTATATTTTAGTTGTATATATAACTTTATTTTACTGATTTAAGCTTATACGAGATCGTTGTTTTTACATAAGATGGATACTTATTTATGCTCTTTTTTTGGTATGGACAGATATAAGGGATTTGATGAAGTTGAAGGAATTGAAATTGCTTGGAACCAAGTGAGATTAGATGATGCTATGCAATCTCCAGAACATCTGGAGAGGGTTTATTCTGAGGTTCACTTATTGAGGACATTGAAGCATGAGAACATAATCAAGTCATATGTTTCTTGGGTGGATGATGAGAAGAAAACCATTAACATGATCACCGAATTATTCACCTCTGGGAGTTTGAGACAGTACGTCCCTGTTATTACTCCTGTAATTAAATTCCGTTGGAATAAAGTTTAAACCATCTGCATTTGTATTTAGATACCGCAAGAAGCATAAGAGTGTTGATTTGAAGGCTATCAAGAATTGGGCCAGGCAGATCCTTCGAGGCTTGGCTTATCTCCACAGTCATGACCCGCCTATTATTCATAGAGATTTGAAATGCGACAACATATTTGTCAACGGAAATCACGGAGAAGTGAAAATCGGAGATCTGGGATTAGCAACTCTGATGCTGCGTCCCACTGCCAAAAGTTTGATTGGTAATTCATTTAGATGCATTTGGAAGTGTTATAGCTTTGATTAATCATAATCTAGCAGAACTTGAATCGGTTCATTGGATTGCAGGAACCCCTGAATTCATGGCTCCAGAGCTTTATGAAGAGGAATATAACGAACTTGTCGACATATATTCATTTGGCATGTGTATATTAGAGTTAATTACTTGTGAATATCCGTATAGTGAATGCAGAAATCAAGCACAAATATATAAGAAGGTTACTTCAGTAAGTTTCCTGACCGTTAACTACCTTCTATTACTTAAGTGCTGTTCTTTTGAAGAGGTGTTTTTACTCTGAAGACTTATTTCACTTCTTATCGATAAGAAGTGGTGCTGAAGTAATTGTAACACTGTTTTTGTAAACTGATAAATGTCTGAATTGTATTATGCCACAATGTTGATGTGTGTTCTTGGTCTTGCCTTGTTGCAGGGTATAAAGCCCGCTGGTCTTTCGAAAGTAAAAGACCCACAAGTCAAGCAATTCATAGAGAAGTGTTTGGTTCCGGTGTCTCAAAGATTGCCTGCACGAGAGCTTCTTAAAGATCCATTTCTTGCCTTAGAAAGTACAAAGGAGCGTGTATCTGAGCCCAAATCCATCCTGCCAAAGCTCAACTTATGTCCCATGGACATAGACTGTAATGACAATAAGATGTCATCTGGTAGCTCCTGTGTGAGGAGCAACAATAGCAGCCCCCGTTTTCCATCAATTGAAATCCAGTGTGTCAATGAGAGAAACGAAATCAGACTGAAAGGGGAGAAGGATCAAGAAAATTCAATCTTGCTATCCTTGAAGATAGCTGATTATACTGGTAAGAACTTTGTTTCTATGTAAACCTGTTCTTTATTATTTGTTCTATTGCTCTTCTTGTTCCAATTCCATTGTTTTGTTTTAACAGGTCAAGTGAGGAACATTAAATTCACATTTTATGTGGACATTGATACTGTGCACTCAATAGCTCTTGAGATGGTTGAACAACTTGACCTGTTGCACGAAGATGTTGCTGTCATAGCACAGCTGATTGATGATATGATCATGAAATTTGTGCCAGCTTGGAAACCTTCATTTGTGAAATCTAATTCTAGTGGAGGATCTACTTCAACTGAAGGTTCTATAATGGCTCAAAATGGGCAATTTGCATTGGTTTCATCAGCAAAGGTTCTAGGAAAGGAATTGGCAGAAGCAAAGAATCATGGCTGCAAAGGGTCAGACAATTCATCATCTACATATTCTGGTGATTGGATGAAGAGCTCAGGAGCCTCTTCCAATGATTCTTGCAACAAAAACATGTCTAATGATTCTTCCTCGTGTCTAAATCTTGAAAAAGGTGAGAAAGATGTGTCCGAAGATTTGAAGCTAGAGCTTGATGCAATTGATGCTCAATACCGCCAATGGTGTAGCGAACTTCAGAAGTTTAGAGAAGCAGCAATTGAAAACGCTAAGAAGAGATGGGTCTCAAAGAAGAAGGTGCCGGTTTTCTGACTGAGTGTAAAGCTTAGCTGCTAAGATTTGAATCATTTTTTCGTTGTAGTTCTGTTTTTTGAGTCGCGGTTGTTCTTAACTTGGCTGTTCAGTTTTTTCTTTCATTTCACCTGTTCTATTTTTCTTTTGTTTCACCTTTTGAATTTAGATGATTGTCTTAGAATTTGTGTATGCTGAATTCATTTGCCCATAATTGATTTAATCTTGAATTCCAAATTTTTGAACATCGTTCCTTGTGTCTTTGTGTTTGTTGCTTGATGTGGCAAGAAATGAATATGGATCCCACATCTGATAGAAGGTGCTTTCTGGTTGATACATTTCCATTAGAGCATAAGACTGGTAAGGTCTTTGCACATCTTTATCATCCAGATTTTACCCCTTTACCTGGGTTTGTCTGGTTTAGTGATAAAGTCTGTGTACATTTTTTCCACCTGACTTTACCTCTTTACCTTTTAGTGGGATATATTGGGTTCGTTTGGTTTAGTGGTAAAGTCTATGTTCATTTTTTCCACGGGACTTTACCTCTTTACCTTTTAGTGTGATATCCTGGGGTTGTTTGGTTTTGCTGCAAAATCATGTTACGGTTGTTTGGTTTTGCTGTAAAATCATACTGGGCTTGTTTGGTTCAGCAGCAAAATCATACTGGATTCATTTGGTTTAGTAGCAAAATCTGCGTACATGACTTTACTGCTTTACCTTTCAGTGGGATATTAGGTGTTTGTTTGGTTTAGTGGAAAGGTTTGTGTACTCTCTACACTTTACCTCTTTACCTTTGAGTGAGTTACATTTGAGTTGTTTGGTTTAGTGGCAAGGTCATTGTAAATCTTACTTTCTGGACTTCAGTTATTTGCTTTTGAGTAGAATATATTGAGTTTGTTTGGCTTAACGGCAATATCTATATACATTTTATCTTCTAAACTTTACCTCTTTACCTTTGAGTGGGATATATTGGATTTGTTTGATTTAATAGCAATGTCTGTGTACATTTTACCTTCCATTCAATACTTCTGAGTAAGATATACTAGGTTTGTTTGGTTTATTGCCAAGATTGTGTACATCTTACCCTCCAGACTTTACCTTTGAGTGCGATATTGGGGTTTGTTTGGTTTGTTATTTTAAGAGCTTGAATAGCTGTTATATGACCTCCACCACAGGAGCCAACAGAAGATCTAAAATTTAGTGAACAAATATTCTACAGCTTACATACATAAAGAATCACAAAGCCAAATTCTGAGATAACTGATTTACAAGACATCTGAATAACAAGAAAGCTATTCATAAGTTTCCATTAATCTTAAATGCAGGCAGGTTTCCATGGGAGAGACAGAATCGACAATGCGTAACAACAGAAACACTTTCCAACCAATATGAAATTATTGGATAGCATCAACACTTAAAAAAGACATTTTCATCCACTTGCAGCATATGTTATTACTATTTACTACCAGTTTTCTTTGACAATTTTCGATTTCTCAAGAATGAACTTGCCTTCCTTGTACTTTTGTGATTCCTCATACGCCCGTTCATATTTCCAACCCAACACCTCACGGCAATCAGAGCAGAACACATCAGCAACCGTGTGGAGACCAGTCATCAGGTGTCTGTCTTCTTTTGGTCCCATTGAGACATTCATCGCGTGGGAGAACAAAAACGCTCTACCATTTCTTCCCTAACATCAATCAAAACGACCCAATTTCAATGCAAAATCAACTACCCTTACAATCCACAATTAAACAAAATCAAACCAAACAGACCCAATATATCCCATCCCACCTAGAGGCAGGGTATGAGGGTAAAACGTACCCAGACCTTACCTCTGTTTTAAGAGACAAAGAGGCTGTGTCTTATATCTGCAATCAAACCAAACAGACCTAGTATATCCCATCCCACCCAGAGAGGTAGGGTACGAGGGTAAAATGTACCCACACCTTACCTCTGTCTTAAAAGGTTGTTTCTTATAGTCTGCAATTAAACCAAATCAAACCAAACAGACCTTGCATATCTGCCCCGTTCGGAGGTAGGGTATGAGGACAAGATGTATGCAAACCTTACCTCTGTCCCAAGAGGTTGGTTCTTATAATCCGCAATTAAACCATCTCAAACCAAACAAACCCTTATATGATTATATCTCATCCCACCAGGAGGTAGGGTCTGAGAGTAAGATATATGCGGACCTTACCTCTGTTCCAAGAGACAAAGAGGTTGTTTCTTATAGTCCAGAATAAGAATTCAAATATCTGCATTATTAGAGATGCTACAAACAATAGCAAGAAGCCCCTCTTTCTGAAACCTAACAGACATCCTAGAAGAGTAGAAGGAACGACCCCTCCTAGACCTTAAAACGTGGTTAGCATGCTTCCAACAATCTTCCCACATTGCAATATAAATAGATTTTTATCAAGAAACTGCCTTTAGCATGGTTTATTATTCCTTGAAACTTAATGCCACAAACCCAAATCAAGAACAAAGATGCATCATTTAACTTGATATAAAAGCATAGAAATTGCCATATATACGCATCCATATGTTCGCATATGGCTAAGGTGATGGTATGACATATAACAGGGGTAGGTTCTGTTAGGAACCTAATTTTCATTAAGAAGCAGGGCACCCCCATAACGTGACACGTGGTATATTAATCAGGAATATGGACGTGTTATTCATCATGAATGTTGTAACATATACATCATGAATGTGTGATTCAAGAAGAATAACTCGTCCATATTCATCATGAATATGTTATTCATGATATATATTCATCCTGAAGAGGGACAGGTGGTGTGCTATGGGCAGTTCCTGGGTTATAATCGAAAAAGTAGACTTTCCTCTATATAACAATCATATAAATATGCAAACTTCTGTTAAAGAGCTGAGCTCTCAAACACTATTGTATTGTATGCATACAATTCATCTACTGCTAAGCATTTTTACCCCCCTTTTCGTCTCTTATTACTTGTTTCCACTTTCCACCATCCATTTCAGTAACACAAACAACATAAGCCACCATTTTTCTTGATCTTTGAGGAAGAGCAAAACAAAGTTGAGAATAGGATTTATTCCCAAATATCAAGTGATCAAGAAAATGTCCTTTTTGTACTCTATTTTCAGCAAGAAACATCTTCTGTTTACACAAAACTATGATTTGGGATTTACAAATCAAAACCCACAATTGATATAGAGAGGACTTCATTGATATATCATCAAACAAGCAAAATCAAGAATTGAACTATGAACAATTTCAAAGATACTTAAATAAACTCAATCAGTACTTCTGTCAAAACAAAACAAAAAAACTCACCTGAAAAGCTTTAGAAATGACATCATCATGAAGGGCCACATGGTTTCGACAATTACAGCAACTGTATAACCTCGGACCAACCATTTCCGCCATTGATGACGATCAAATCTCACTCAACTACCTTTCTAGCGATATCAAATCTGTTGGCAGAATCGGGTAAAGACCCAAAAAATCAGATGATCACTCAAATCAAAAGCACCATCTATCAACAAGAAATCTTGATACGTAACTTGTACGCAGTTCTTTGACCAAGTATATCTGCTTTTAAACAAAAGTATTATTTTTTTAATATAAAACGATGAAAATTGAAGTGGGTAAATTAGTAATCACATGATTAAGCTGAAGAAACCATAAGATAGAATGGAAATGAAGCGTACCCAGTAACTGAAAGTAGTTGAAGTGAAGAACATGAGGATCCAAGGTGTGATGACATTCGACTTCTTGTATTCGTATGTGTATATATATATAAGATATATATATTTATGGCATAAAAATGATGACTTTTTGTTTGATTAATGCTAATCTACACGGAAACTTGCAAATCCGTGACGTGGGTATTTGGATTTCTTTCAGAATTATGATGAAACAGAGATGGTAGGGTTTTCTTTGGTTCTTGTTGTTTTGGAGTTGGATGAGAAGTGTCGGATTTTAAGTGGGTTTCTAATCACTTTTTTTGTTTGCCGACCCCCTTTTCAATTATGATGGTGTTTATCCATCACCCTTCTCACACGTTTTCATTTTTTGATCCATTTCTCCGTGTTCCTATCAACCTGTCGGTAGGTCTTGTATTAAACCAACCGGGTTTGGAGATACGTTTGTGTCGGTTTATTGATAGTTTTGATATTCAATAGTTTGTATAGCTTATTCGGTAAGTCATGTATCAGTGTTTGTTTAATGATTTTAAGAAGTTTTATGTGGTATTATACTATTATTTGATGGTGGTTTAATGGGAAATGTAGACTTATCCGGTAAGATATACATGAGTGCTTATTCATTAGGTCAGTGGCTTATTCACTCGGTTATTCCAACCCAACTTACAATGATTGTATGAGAAAATGTCAACCATATATACAACTAAATGATCTTAAAGGGGAGGCTAATTGCATACTTATTTCTATCAAAATTAGGTTTAATAATATATTGAAGGGAAATTGATTCAAATAGTCATTCTACCCACTTAAGTTGGTCTTTTGGTCATTCCTCTCCCGGGTTAATCCATATGTCACTAAATCAGCAATATCCAGCTTCGTAACTTGTGGACCTAGCTAAACGACAAATCTTTTTACATAAGCGGCCCACATCCGCAATATTGCGGACGTGCCACGTGTCATCACCCGATCAAACTGAATGCTATTCCCTCTATGTTACTGTTTTGATGTTTATCTATGCGTGAAACCACCACGATCGAGCACCGCTACGCTGGCGATGATGTGACGGACCTACGACTGCAATTGCGGACGTGGCTTATGATCGGGTGCTGACACGTGGTGCGCCCGCAATATTGCAGATGTGTCTTCGTGGATGTAGAGGTAGTGACATTTGGGTCAACCTAGGAGAGTAATTGCTAGAAAAACCAACTTGGGTGAGTAGAATGGCTATTTGAGTTAATTCCCCTACATTAAATATGTAAAAAACAAGTTTGATGTCGATGTATGTAAGGATTAAATTAATTGGTATTTGTACATTTAGAGGCCGTTTACCAAACACTTACCTGGTAAGTGCTTACCGGCAAAAAATAACATAATCATTTACTTATCGAGTAAGATTTTAGTCCATCAAAACGACATCGTATGCAACAATTTACCAGATAAGCACTTACCATGATAAGAGTCGTTGCCTCACTTATCGGGTAAGACTCTTTGGTCCTTGTCTTGCTCTTACCGGGTAAGATTCTTGATCATTACCATATTCATCCAATAATGTAATGTGATTTGGTAAACGCTTACTCGGGTAAACATTTGGTAAACGGCCTCTTAATCTACCCCTTATACAAAATATATATGAATAATTTATCAGATAAGATTTTCATTATTCACAAAATAAAATCATTTGACAATTGATTAAGATCTTTTTTAGAAAATTCATTGAAGATGCTTAAAAGGTCGAACCTTTTAAAACCAGTTCTGGGTTGCGATTGAAATCGGTCTTTGGGAACTTGTTCGTTTGTATGATCTCTCCATTTGGAAAAAAATTGCGTAAGTGTAATTTTCAAATTTACGTGTAAACTTTAAAAAAGGTAGTTCTAGATACAGTAGTAATGTATCTCATCTGAAATGAATAAATGCATGCATCGATTGAGGTCAAAACATCACTCAGTTCAAGGTTATTCTACAATGGATCATCAATTGGCTCGCCAGGGTGGTCTAAGGTTAAGTTGAGAGTATAAATGACATGAGTAGAATAATCCATACAGGCATGCCACAAATCTATATCTATAGTTGTATATAGTTGTCTAATAGAAATTTGTTTTTTTTTATGATTAATAATGTTATATCAGGTTTTTTTTTATGTTTTGTTAAATAATTTTATATATAAATAGCATTGCTCATCCCAAATATTAACCAGAATTAAAATGTGAACAAATTTTTATGATTACGGGTCTAGCAAAATGTGATCAAAAACCTCACTTTTCGTCTTTTTTTTTTAAGTAATAAAATGTAATTTTATTTATAGATTAATATATAAATTTAATATATATTCTAGAATTATTTAAAAAAAGTTCAAATATAATTTATTATTTTTTTCTGTATTAATTTTCACTTTTCTATATTTATTGTAGTTTTTTAATATATAATTTTATATTACAATTAAAAATGTACAAAATATTATACAAATAGAAAAGATATTTTATAATTATTAATTTCCGATTTATAAATTTATTTTAATTTATATATATATATATATATATATATATAAGTATAATATAAACATAATAATACAATGAGATAATTAAAAATTAAACTTATTAATACAAAAAATTTGTATAAGATTTTACAAGAAAAAATAAATAAAACAAAATTAAAAAAATTTATAATAATTATTTTATATATTTCTTGCATCATTTATAACTTGTATGTTTTATAAATCTATTAAAGAAAAAAAATAGTTAAGGAATCATAAAATAAAAATCTAACAAAAAGAACCTGTTACCAGAGAAAAATCTTTGTCCTACAATAAAGTTGGGGTTCTTATAAAAACCCCACAAAAACCTCCATTGTAGATGCTCAGAGGATCACTTATCCAAGAAATTAGCAAGAAAATGGCTCCAATATGATGAACTTGCCAAAAATGGAAGGTTAGCATGATTTTTTTGATAAAAAAGTTAATCTGATTTTCATCGGTGGCTAGTCACAAAAATGGTAATAAGCGAGCGGGTGCAACCAATACCCATGTCTTGAGGTCGATTTTCTTGTGTCGCAAATCATACATCGAGAGTTCACGAATAATTACTACTTATGCCAATGAGCCTAGGTCGCGCGCTATGCTACAATTGAGCCACGTGATCTCTAGCTCACAAAATCAATGTCATGTTTCGTAACCATAAGCTAACTTATTTTTTAACTTATTGAGAAAAACTGAATAAGCTGTAAGTCTCATTACCCTCATTAAACTGCTAACCAACAGACCCTATCTAGTTTCTCAAACATAACCTAACCTAACCCAACTTTCAACAACAAAAACTAAATATTTTTTCAGACAATAAAAGATCTAATCACATATTTGTAACCAACAATGTTTGCTTCATAATGAATAATACCATTAATGTTGATACATTACAAACATAAATAGCATTGTGATACTACAAAATGTGGAAAGTTAGAAATAACCATTTTTTTTGAATCTTGTATCAGACTACGAAAACCGCATACTACGCTATCTTAATAGTATACTCGTTTCCTTATTCTTCAACCAACTTTTAATTCTTTTCTCTTCGTGTTCTTCATCTTGAAATCATCGATCTCCAAGAACTCAATACGTAAACTATATTGCACACAACTTTAACAAGAATGATGAAGCTTGAATTTAACCGTTTTCTATAAATCCCCATGTGTTTCTTAATCTTCGATGTTTAGTGGTTCGGACTCCAATTCCCTCACCTTGTCTTGCCCTGAAACAGAACATACAAAATGAACAACTTAAGCAAAAGGAGAGAAAACGCTTGTGGTAATAAATATATTCATCCAATCTTACGAAAATCTGTTTTACAGGACGTCAAATATGTCCAAATTTCTTAATAGACTGTTTTATAGGACCAATAATTGTCTGTCCAATGTAAAGGTGTTGCAATAAGTTGATAGGACGCTTTTGAACGTCCTAACAAGTTTTTTAGTACAATTTTGAAATAAAACGTCCTAATAGTCTTTTTAGGACACTATTTTAAAAAGTGTCCTACAAAAATGTGTCCATAAGGCACTTCTCAAAAGCGTTCTAGCTAGTAGAACATTTTATTCCAAAAGTATATAAATCAAAGTAGTCTATTAAGACATTTATACATCTTTAATGGCAGAAACTAGGGGTTGTTTATTTACCTCTTAATAGTTCCATTAAGAGGCAGCCTCTGAATCGTTAAGAGGTGAATTTTGTTTGGCAAAAACAAAATCTGCCTCTTGATAGTTTTAAAAATCCTCTTGATGATTTTGTATCTTGGGCCTCTCTTAACCATTCAGCGCCCTAATTTCGTTGTAAATAATTACCAGATAATTATATTTCATTTTGCACTATATCATGAGAGTCTTTTAATCATTCTGACCACTTAATCATTTTGCACCAAACCATTTAGTAACTGCCAAACAGCCCCTAAAAGCAAACATAGAACATACTTGATCTTTCTGCAACACCCAAGAGGCGCCTTTGCAGCATAGATGCAATGAAGAGGAAAACGGAACACATTCCAAACATTACGGTAATTGGGAATGCATCAACCTTCAATAGAAGTAAAACAGAGTGGTTAACAGAAAGCTCGAATGTATATATATGTGCATAAAAATGAGAAAGAGACCGAGAGAACTCACGTTATAAAGCACGATGCAAACAAAGATGTTAAGAGGAATGCGGAAAAAGTTCATAATGGTGCTTCTAGCCTCTTCAGGAATGAATTGAGACCTCATTTTCATAATAGATGGCCAGAATAAGCCAACACAGGCTTCAAATACACAGAATCCAAGCAGCTGAATACACCCTGCAAACTTGATGCTTCCACCCTTCTCTTGAGAAGGAGCCACCAAAAACTGTTGAAAAGAAAGAAAAAATATTAAAAAAAAAATCTCATCTTTTTCGGCGAATGAATGTAAAAATGAGGTTAAAAGAAGGTGTTGCATACACTTGTAAGGACGGGAAGCAACAGAGAGACAGAAGAGACGACAAAAACAACTTGCATGTAGCTCTCGACTTTGATTGATGCACGGGCCAACAGCCGAGAAGCCAAAGAGCTTCCCAACATGGAGGATAACATGAAAGTAGCAAAAATGAAACCATGTGGAATGTCTTCGCCATTTGGGCTCAAAGCAGGAGTCCACAAGAACACAAAAGTGTACATTGATCCTTCAAATAGGGATTGTATTGCACCCAACAATGCTATCTTTTCATCTGATTTTATAAAAAAATATTAGGTGAAAATTTAGTTAAGAGGAAGGAATGTTAGGGGAGATTTAAATGAGAACCATAAATATTTTGAGAACCGTGAGAGGCAGTATATATATATATATATATATATATTACCGTTCACCTTATTTTGTGTTTTGTGCGCAATGGGCCCTTTGCTTTGCTTGAGTGCCCGCATCCTATATATAGACTTGGGATCATGTGAGACCACCCTTTTACATTTGAAACTTCAAGTGTTTTTGCTGTGAAGGTTTAGATTTTTTTCATCTTCACAATATTTTGCTGTGAAGTTTCAAGTGTAAAAATGTGGTCTCACGGGTCACAAAAACAGGCTGGTCTCACAAGAACCCAACCCTGTATATATGCATCGATGCATAAATATGTATCTGTCAATTAGTATATTGATCAATGACTATGTACTATATATGCATCAATGCATATACCGGTTCTCAAAATATTTATGACTCCAATTTGATCTTCCCTTATATATGTGTATGTGTGTGTGTGTGTGTAAGATAGATGGGGAGAGACAGACCAGAAGCAATTGCCACAGCAGCTCCCCTGAATTGGGTCATTAAATCTTTGCTTTCTGATGCATCACCATAATTTTCAGTCCAGGATGATATAATGATAGCCATGCCGATGGCAAGAAAGATGGAAGCTGCATCAAATGGTGCCACAGGTCCCATTGCCAATGAACCAACTAATAGATTGCCAAATAAACCAGCCAATATAGCAACTAAACCGTTCCCAAGAAAGATTGCCTTGGAGAATGTTATCGATAGCCATTGTTGCTCAAAACCCCTCTACAAATAGAAGATAAGTTAGAACCATACACAAAACATGACAACAAAAATGCACATTATGGTCTACTAGACGATGCAATGGAATGATCATATGAACCAATCAGTTTTCCCTCTTTTCCATCAAGTAATCATCTCATGGCATAAATCTTGAATCTGATGAGGCAAGAAGAATTAGAATTGTCACTTTATCTTTATAATAAGCAATGGAAAAAAGGGAACCCTGACCTCTAAAAGTATAACCACCTAGGGATCAGACTAGATACCATTGAAGTTATATAAAGCCAACAGATCAAATTAAACATCTTAGTTAGCGAGCATCAATAGGATAACAGATCTTTGGTATTTACGATAAAAGAAATTTGCATATTTGTATATATACATATATATATATATATTACATCCCACCTTATTGTGTTCAGCAACAAGCCATGACTCAAAGGCTGAAAAAAGGAGAGAAGTGGCAATCCCTCCCAATATTCGTCCCACCATCAGAACTCTGTACTGAGGTGAATGCTTGGTGATGCAACTCAAAATGTAAGTTATACAGTAAGTAACCGAAGCTCTTTTCCGACCACTGAATTTACCACAACAAGTTACAAGTTAAGTCACAACATTTGTCATTTAAACTTTAAACATTTTTTACTTAAAAGATGAAAGAAAATTACTGTTTATCGGCTAAGGATCCAACAATTGTCCCAAAGAGCATGGAAGATCCAAATCCAGCAATAAAGAGCTGCCCAATATCTCCTTTCCCAAAACCATATGTGGTATAAAGGTAGTACACATATGGTCCCTGCAACCAATCACCAGCTACAACCACCATGAAATTTGTTGCAATGTCAAAGATGATCAAAGTGGGGAAGAACAACTTATTATCCACAATTAAAGCATAATCACTCATCAAAGTAATCAGTGAGTTGTAATGGATCATGATTCTCCCCAAATCAGCTCCCCATTATGGATCCAAATAATACATCTAACTATTTTACTTGATGTGAAGAAGAGATCTTAAAAACCCATGATAAGGTTCAACATATATCAAAATTCAACAGAGCTAAATAGTATCCTAGATCCATAAAAGTTGAGAATTTAGCAACATTTGACACAAATCTTGAATAACCCAGATCTAATTCCTCCTCATAGATGTCAAACCACAAGTGGTAATCAACTCAAATCAAGAACAATTGATATCAAACATACACAGAAAATGATAATGTGGAAGAAAGAAATGATACCCATCATGAGAGAGTAGACGAGGAGGTAATTGTTCTTGAAGGAATTGAAAGCAGAAGAGGTATTGATCCGATCTTTGTTGCTTTTACTGAGCTCCATTGTTGCAACGACAACAGCTAGACCACCAAACACTAGCAAGTAAAAAAGCTCCATGATTCTTGATCTTGATCTTGATCTTGATCTCGATCTCGATCTATTTGTGTTTGTGAGAGAGTGTGAACGGAAATAGAGAAGACCACAAAGCAGAGAGACCCTTCAATCCAAAATCTCTATTTGGAACGAAGGGAAGAGTGTGTGATATATAGTATGGGCCAAAGCCCTTAACCTCCAAGCATTATAGCCGAAGGGTGTCGGTAGGCCAGTATGGCTTATATCATTTTTATGTTTTTCCTTAGATAATTTCCAAAGAAAACAAAATAAAACGCGTATATTTTTAATATTAAAATAAAACATATTTTTTTTATTAATCGGGATATATAACCCGTTATATAAACCGATTAATCGTATGACGACCACCCGTTTTGTAGGTAGCTCGGAGTCACCACATCTAAACATCCGATGCCACAAAGAAATTTTTAGTTGTCCTTGAATTCGAACCTAAGACTTTCAGACATTTTCGACATTTGAAACTCAAACTCAAACCAATCGCACACTATATGATTCGACTTACTATAAAACAAATATTTTGTTGTTAATTAATTTTGTAATATTTATTTACCAAATTTTAGATTTTTTTATCATTAATTAATTTATAGCATTTTATTGTGAATTTAATTAATAATTAATAATTTTTATAATCATTGATTCCACATTAAATATATCATCAACTTTGTAACTTTTAGTTATTAAATTATCGTCATGGTTTCAGAAAAATTGTCATAGATTTCTGAAATAGAGAGCATTAAACAATTTAAATAACATAAAAAAAAGTGAAATAATTAAGAGAAGACATAAATAAGCCATTCGAAATATAAATGCGTTTTACACAACCGACAAAACAAGTAAAAAAAAAATTAAAAAAAAAAAACATTACACCGACGCAAAAACAATTCCAATTTTGTGATTTTTTTTGCTTTTTCTTGATATTTCTCTTTGTTTTTATTATTTATTTGATACATTATTTACATATATAATATTAAAAATATTTATCAAAATAAAATATCTCGGATTTTGATATTAATAATGAGTTTATTAATTA